GGTAAAGCCTTTCCATATCAACTCCATTGTCGGCAACTCTCGATTTCACTGAATGAAAGCAAGCTATCTTGTTATTATTATTCGTAGATTTTATATCACTTATGTAGCTTTTGTCATTCAATAAAACCCAAATACTGGAATGATTCGTTCACAGAGCGATGTTTATTATTAATGGAAATTTTATTATATTTTCCCTGACAAAAAATATAAAGTATGATCGCATTTTCGATAACATTCTTTTACCATGTAATTTATTTAGAAGAAAACTTTGTTGTTCGGTTTGAATACATAAGAAGTTCGGATGGAATTTTCTACAATATACTAGCCTATCTAGTTTCTAGTCAGAGTCAATAACTGAAATCCTAATTGGTATGCAAACAACCAGTCTGTGCTGTAATAAAAATAGTACCCAATCTGTACGAGTTCGACGTTCCGACTCGCCTCTTACGAGCCCCTTTAAAAGCTTACTGGTTTTTTTATGTTTACTTACAATTCATAGGTGAACGAACTATGTTTAAAACTCAACTATTAATCAACCGATTGAAAGACCATCTTTGCTCAATGCGCAACTTTATGATGCTGGTGGTTCCTTTACATGGTCGGCTTATATAGTCTGGTGTAGGATGCCCACCCGGACTGTTTTGATGACTGTTTTAATGATGTTGTATGTTTCAGTACAGAGCTTATTCTGTTTTGAACAAGAAATGTTTGTTGATCTTTTTTTGTTTTTTTCTTGTACAAAGATTGCGTAGATTTTTAATTTCTCTAAAGTTATCAATATTTCAAAGTATCAAATAAGCTAGGTAAATAATTTTGTCACGTCTATCTGTTTCTTTGTCTGTACGTATCATAACTTTGTAAACACTTTTTCTATATCTTGGGATCTTTTAAAGTACAAATAAGTGCTTTTATTTGTAATCAAACTGTTGATTTATTCCATTTATTTGTGTGTTGTAATGCAATATAGAAAGTCTTTAATCCCACAAATTTATATCGTTTCTATTTTTTTATTTCACAGTCAGAAGAATTGTATGTTTTATTCAACTTTTTGTACTAAAACAAGGCATTTTTATTATATATAACAGTCCTGTCGGTATCCTTTTATGGCTTGCGCTCAATTCTTGTGTTCATTGGCCTGCAAGGGTGAATGAGCCAAAAGATCTGTAGGTGTTAGGACCCACGCTTTATACTTAAATATTACTGGCATTGTCTTCTGATGACAACTTTCGAAATCTCGTTATGGTTCCTTATTCGTTTTAGTAATAGTAACTTATTTATAACATAGAGTTATTGAGATTTGAATGTAGACTCAACGGAATAACTCGACATCCACATTCATAATCTAATCATAATTAGAACGGAGTATTTTGAAGAGCTTTGATTATAAATGTATGACTGAGGAGGAAGACCAAAAAGGATTGATTACACACATACACGTAAAAGGTGAATAAAGAAATAATGGCCGATGGGGATGAACGAGGAAAACGAAATACGTTGCCAGTAGCACGTTGGTTATCTTCATTTAATACAGTTTTACAAAATTGTAATTTCAGAAATAGAAACGTACGTGCTTGTAAAGATCTCTCGAGTAAAAACAAAGATAATGTTAAATATTTAAAAAGTGTACGTGCTCGTAGAAGATTTCTCCAATTTAAAGTTGATTATGTTGAACTTATAATATTGTATGTTACCAGGACTATAAAAAGCCTCTTATCTAATAATCAATTCGTAAGAGCATCTAAATTATAGCTTACTAACTTAATAGTTATGTATAGAAGATGATTCATGGTCGTGTAAACGGTGCTTGATTATATGAAGATCCCTAAGCCTCGAGGCATTACATCATTGCTCCGGAATGTTTGACCAATTTAGGACCCGTCTGAATAGAAGGTTTATTGGCCTCTAATATATTTATACATAAATCCAGTCCTGCATAATAAGGAGACACTCTTTGTATTGTGTGTAGGTATAAGTTGCAAATATTGCATTCCGTTGCATACGACCCAACGAACAATACGTGCTTTATATTTAATGCGCCACATAATTAATACGAAAGTGAAATGAAAATTCTCACAGCACAACTCGAGGTTAACGTAGATTCACTCAATTGGACCGTGTTGTGAAGTACAAATAAAAAACTTGGCGAGTACTAAGAAACAATAGAAGGTCAGGAGCTCGGTATTTGTACTAGCGTCTGGGATGATAGCGGTGACGCTATCAATGACTTACGCTTGTCTATAACATTTTTGTTTTCACTGATAGGTGCATTCTTGAGTATATAATGTAGGGATTATTCCTAACGACCAGAGTGCGAAGGTTCTGGACCGTGTATCAGAATAAATTAAATTGTATTTGTATGGTTGGTTTGCTTTGTTAATCTAGCTAGTACTGTGTACTGGATTGGAAACAACTTTGCCAGTTTTTGAGAAAGACCTATTGGCAGCAGGGGATAATAATGATTTGCTTGAACGATGATAATAAATAAGCTTGGCTAGAAATATTAAAGAGGTTATCTGGATGTATCTTAGCTATTTTCATTTTATTCTGCGATTTATTTATTTTGTTATTATATATTTCAGCAAACATCATGTTGAACTTAAAGTATTGTTAGTAATGACTTAGCGCAATTAGATTATTAATTAATATTTAACTAAAATAAATTAGTCCTCTTAATTAGTTCACCTTCATTTCTTCAACACGTCCTTGACAAATACTGCTTTCATTTTTTTTTTATTTATTTAATAGCTTGTAAATGAAAGTAACGTAGAGTTGAAAAGAAGAGATTTACTATTTGAAATTTCACACTTCGATTATAAATTTAAATAAGCGGATTTGTTCTATTACTTTTCAAATAAATTGCATAGATTGGCTCGAAATGTGGTATTAAAAGCTACGCGTGTTACGGTTTCTAAAACATTCCATTCTTAATTACCGTAACACATTTGATGGGCTGCATTTTATTTCGAATATCTTCATTAAATTGCCACACTAATTATAATATACAACAAGGTATATTTCAAAGTATTACATTTATACAATGTAAATATTTCTACACATGTACTTTAGTGCTTTTCCACTTAACCGTTGTGGTACTTGTGGTTGCGTCAACCTCTTACGTGCTCTTCGCTTTGATTATGCTTTCCTGGTACCTAGTACTTAAGAATTAGCTAATGATAAATAATATATGTTGTTTTTAGTCAAACAGCGTTTGCATTTGTTGCAAATCTTTCGTTTAATTACAAACATACGTGTATGTAATGTTTGTGATTAAACAAATTTACAGTTACACATTTTAGTTTAGTAATAAATGTGGATTTATATTTGTTATTTATATAGTAGTATCACGTAATGTTCATTTTAGTTAATATAATAAAATTGTAATGAGACAATGTCTGTATATTGGAAATATTTAATAAAAAATAAAAGGTAAGTCCAATACCTATATGCTAAAACGATATTTTTTACAAATTTTGTCTGTCTGTATATTTGATCCGGCATCACGTAAAAAATACTTTACTAAATTGAATGCGGTTTTCACAGTTGTGTTCTTGAAAATATAACTTAATTCTGGTGTGTATTTTGGGCAACCCATCTAGAAATGGTCTATTTAATTTATTTTCCTACTTCTGAAATCCGTACGAAGTAGCGGGTAAAAAGATAGTTTATATAAAAATTAGAACAGCGTCTCTCGTTATAATGGTTAATATATAAGAAACATGATAAAAATGACTATTTGGTACATAGTACTCTGTAATTGTTACACGTAAACATTTAACTAACCTAAGAACTCTAGTTTTTGTAACATTTGACATTTGTGATAGTGGAAAATATACATGTATAAAAATAAACGAGTGAGAGAAAGATATATAACCTTCCTGTACGAGAGAGAAAGCCAATTCTGGCGCTATAGCGTAATACCTAGATACCCTTATCATTACATTAGTACAGTTATTATTGATATTATAATCATTGTTTTTGTTTGTTATGTAGTTGAAAGTCGTGTCTATTTGAGGCAAGTGAATTTACAGTGTATATAAACAATTTTATAATTAATTGCCAAAGAAAGGGAACCTTTATGTTTTTCGGAATGTGTGTAAGTTTATAATAACATATAATATTCTGTAATTTAATTATAAAAATAGCTTGATCAACTTACGCGTATTTAGGGTCACGGATGGCTGCGAAACTAGTCTAGTGGTCCCGAAAAAAATACACAAGTTGATTTAGTTATTTTTATAATTTAAATGAGTGTCGTTTCGTTAGATTAGTTTTCAATGTCAAAGTACTATTGGCTATGACAATAGTACAAAATAAACCTGGCAGAGTAGCATTATTAAGAATGTGAAATTAATTGTGGTTGTATTTATTAGATTAGATTAGATAAGTCAGTAAATACTGATTATTAGGTGTTATGCCTTTTCACTGCTATATCTCATCATTCAAACCGAAACAGCCATGTAAGCGCAACTGCTTTATAAAAAAAAAAAAACATGAGTGGGTTAGATACGCTGGCGGAGCACCAGTGAAGGGTGATCGATGAGAATGAAAACAGGCCAGTTAGCCCATCATGATGAATTCATCAGTAATTCCAAGTAGATGACTTGCGCAATGGGGTCTCCATTACTAACAATCCCTTTTCCCCTAACATGAGTGGGTTAGGGATTGTCCCCAAATAGATAGCAATGGAGTTTAACAGCCCCCAATGCTAGTAATATACCCTATCAGGTCGACCTCCACGTGGTTCCCCCTGGAAACCATTGTGAATAATTCTTGTTGAATTCGTCACAATGCGCTAATTGACCTGCTTCATCCTCACATATCATCTCTCACTGGTGCCCCGCCAGTGTATACTAATAGCACAGGCGGGACTACCATTTTATTATCATCTATTAAAAAAAAAAACAGATTACTTTTGTATATAATCTTCATCCGTTTTGTACAAGATAAATATAACAATCAAAGACAAGAAACAATGTCTAATTGTGTACAATTCTTGTCAGCAGGTAGCGGCACCTTCGACGAGCGAGATGAGCGACCGCGATAGGTACCGCTCGCCGCCGCAGCCGGAGCCGCCGCCGCACCGCGTGCGCGCCAGCGATCTGTATCCGCGCGAGCGCACGCACTTCGACGAGCCCGATCTGGAGATCGGGTTCACGCCCATATGCGCAGAGTTTGTCAAGGTGGGTGTACTAGTAGATTATAGTAGATAGTAGATACTAGATTGACACAAAAAAAGAAGAAGAGAAACAATTGTCCGTAAATAAAGTATTTTTTGCTTTAAAAATAAAAAAAGTAAAAAGTAATGAAAAAACAAACGAAGAGATAAAAAAACAGCCAATGAATTAAAAATATATGGATAAAAAGAGAATAATTTAATTTATTTAAAAATTGATATAAATTGATATAAAAAAAATAATTTACTTGTAATGAATAAATAAGAAATATGGAAAGGGCAAAGTGCAAATTTATTATAAAAATAATAAAAGTAAAGACATAAATAGTAAAAGAAAGAGAAACATTATAAAGAAAAATATAAATAATATAAAATAACCAAATATAGTATTCACGTGTCATTTTTAATCTAAATACCATAAATATTGATCTTATTCTATCTATATTAGCAGAACCCAAATCAGAAATTTTTTAACATCTCTGTAAATTATTGATACCCATTAATTATTTCCTTCCGTGAGTAGGAGTAGTAGATTAAACCTTATCTGAGAAATCAATTCAGGGTACGATAGGGCTGATATACCTGAAGAACCTTACTTATTTATATGGGTACAAAATAAAAGTAAATTTTTATTTCGAAACAAACAAAAATAAACAAATATCAGCTTACAAAGAAAAAGAGATTTAAATTCCCGTACATAGCATTATCGCAAAATATTTGTAGTATATTTTTAAACACCCCTTTACAAGGTAATATGAAACTGTGTTGACTTCTTTTTAGGTCACTTAGCGAAATTAGCGACCGTGACAGCACTAGTGCAACGATGTAATGCGTTGCACTAGTGCTGTATATGGTGGTACTTAGTATATAAAACGGTAACGTAAATAGCTATATGACAATACTGACAAGTATTTCTTATATAAAATATTGCTAGCAATCGGACTGGTAGTTCGCATTACTAGCAATCTACCTCCCACCTAGCTGACTGTACTGTAACGTATTTTACATTACAGTACAGTCAGTTCATAGCATAAAGCAGTGATTCTCAACCTTTTTTTTTTGTTGCGGCACATATTTAACGATTTCAAAATTTGGCGGCACACAAAGAAAAAGATAAAAATTATTTACTTTACTACAACACACTGCATAAATAGTTTATGACAAAAATTTTAAATATTTGCAAAATTTGGCGGCACACTTTTAAAATTTGGCGGCACACAAAAGTGCCGCGGCACAGTGGTTGAGAATCACTGGCATAAAGCATTTCAAAAACTAAAATAGGTTTATGAGAAGTTTGACGTTTTTATGAATAAGGAGGTCACAGTATATACTCAGATATAGGTACACACAATGAACAAGCACATAAAATTTAAATTCTAAGGATTTCTTACAGTCATAGTACAAGCTATTCATCATATTTAGAGGCGCTTATTGGCAAAATGTAAGATTTGCCACGTAACACCGAAGGTTATCTATAATAACTTATAATAAATCTGTAGATAGGTCAATTCTGTATATGGAATATATTTCCAAAATAACTATCAGGCGGTGATTAGTGATCGATACAGATGCCAAAAATGCAATCAGTAAAATTTTTGTCTATCTGTATGTTCGTTATAGAAACAAAAACTACTCGACGGTTTTTAACGAAACTTGGTACAATTATTCTTCATATTCCTGGGCAGATTATAGTATACTTTTCATCACGCTACGATCAATAGGAGCAAAGCAGTGAAGGGAAATGTAAAAATGTCCACCCGTGCGATTAAAATTAATACATATTAGGTTTACCTGTATATCAAAATAAAAACCCGTTATAAATTTAGCAAAATAAATCGAAATAATGCAATGTTATTTATGACCAATTTCGAAAAGAAGGAGGTACTTAATTCGGTTGTATTTTCTTTTATGTTTGTTACCTCTTAACTCCGTCAGTTGTAAATCGATTTGGAAAATTCTTTTTTATCTGAAAACATATATATACATATATCTTTTTACATTAGTTTTATACAAATTTTATCAAAAACGGCTCAGTAGTTTAGTTTTTAAATGAGTATAAATATTTTAACCACAATTAAAGTCGGTTTTTTTTTTTTGTAGGACACAATCTTATTTGATATAAAACTCATGTCTTTTGTGTCATAATAAGATATTTCTGTAGAGGTCGGAAATAAAGCAATTGACAACCGAGGTGTATTGGCAGGAGGCGGCGGTGCCGGTTACTTGCCAAGACATTACAAGGCACCGGCGAAGTTATAAATTAACTTCGGACTTTTCATATAAATTAATTGCTATTTTCGTCACGACTTGTACTTATTATACATTTTGAAGGAAACAGTATACTAATTATATAGAAATATAAAAGATTAATTAAGCAACTTCAAAAGAAAAGAGATTTTCAATTTCTTTTTGTTTGTTATGCGATTCTCTTATCTTTGCCAATTCTAAGTCGTTTGTCGAAATTATCCTAGTACTTCAGTGGATATACTCCAGTAATCCTTACTCATAATATAAATCTAAATGTGAGTTTGTTTGTTATCCAACGACTATGAAATTTGATATACACGTATCATATAGAATGGAGAAGGATGTAGGTCACTTTTTAGTTAGTAAACATATCTCGATTACGCGGACAAAGTCGCGGGTAAAAGCTAGTGGGTATATATTTGTTTTTGAAGAGTATATGATGTTTATCCCAAATAAAGTGCATAATACTAGAATTTTGATTAAATTTTTTTTTGGTTAATTTCGGTAGCGGAATTAAACAAAATAATTCTAAGCAATTAACTTAATATACAGTTTAACGATTTAGTTTAATATGTTGTTAATATGTATATTAATGTGGATAAATGAATTAGAAAACTATCGTATCGAGTTATAGATACAAATTGAATTGAATTAATTTAATTAATTAGAAACTGAGACGGAATAGATAAGTTGAGAATGCAGTGGTAAGTAAAGGCCAACGGGTTGAATGCACTGGGGTCAATAACCTGGCACCGCTGATAATGTCTGCATTGTCAAATTCGCCTACACATTATTACTGCATTCCATAAGTTTCTTCCTGTTTTACTAATCCAGTACTTGTACTATTTTCGTCTAGTCCCCTTTTTATTTTTAAGCGAGTTACCAGACTGTGACTTTATACAAAAGTCGTTTGCTTGGGCACCTCTGTCTTATTCGTGTTTCTACCGTGAAGCGGTTGTGTTTGCATAGCTGTGTTTCGGTTGAAGGGTGGGATATGGCAGTTAATTTACAGGGTATAAAGGAATAACACCTGAGTCCTCAGGAATGCCAACGCGTGAGAGGTAACAGTATATTCTGTTATGCTCATGTCTATAGGCGACGGTTACCACTTTCCATCAGGTGAGCCGTCAGTTTGTTTGTCATTCTAAGTTGCAAAAAAAAAATCTCTTGACGGGTCAGTCTTTTTTTTTAAATTTTGTTTCGTTTTTTTTTATTGTCTGTCCACTGACCACAGTTTTTTTTACAGTGGGTTGGAAGAACTACGGATGGAGGCTCAATAGCGATGTCCAATTACCGGCTGCACCTTCAGCCACGGCGGCGGAGCGGACCCGGCGCCTCCGTGCCCCTCCGGCTCATCGACGCGACGGAGATACGTGATCTCATACATTTGATTGTACTCTGCAAGAATGGACGCACATTCAAGTGAGTATCAGCCAAGTTCCGAGTAGACATGGACAATATCTGCACCACACTATATCTATATATTGGGTTTCTCAAGACATTGATCGCGGATAAAAGTCATCGCCCATTTGGATGTAACATATACCCATCGAATATTTATTTATATTTATTACGATCGGGTTCATTTCGATATTATATTAAACATTGAATATTCAATATTTAATATATCCATTATAGAACCAATATATATATATATATATATATATATATATATATATATATATATATATATATATATATATATATATATATATATATTGTAACTATATATGATATATATTATTCAATCCTAGTCCCGAGTTTAAATCACGTCTAGTCAAATTGAGAAATTTACAAAAACATTGGAGTCTATGTTGAAACACCATTCTCTATCTGTATCCCGTATCTAAATCTGAATATTGTAAGGATCATATAAACTAATTTCGTCAAAACTATTTTACATTTAATTCTGCATGGTTCACATATTAGTAATAGTTTTTTTTAAATTGTCAAATGAAACTTTTAGTTATAAGTTTAAACTTTTAGTTATAGAGATAAGTTTAGGAAACCATACCTCAAAATCAACGCCATTGTATTTATTATATGTATTTAATATATATATATATATATATATATATATATATATATATATATATATATATATATATATATATATATATATTATATTTTTATATTATAAACGATTCAGTCCGGCCATGCTTGGGTAGATAGAATTTTCGAAAAGAACATATAGTCTATGTTACTCGCTGTTAATGTAGCTTTCTATAGGTGAAAGTATTTTTTATAATCGGTCGAGTAATTTTTGAATATTATACATTACATTTGAATATTATACACATACAATAATCAAATATTTTCTCGTTATAATATTACTAACTTTTACCCGCGACTTCATCCGCGTGACCGGGATATGTTCACTGACCTAGATAAAAAGTAGCCTATAAACCTTTTCCATTGTATGCACGTAATATATGGGATATTACGTGTATACCAAATTTCATTGTAATTAGTTCAAATGTTAAGACGTTAACGTGCAACAAACTAACAAATAAACAAGCTGACTTTCACATTTATAATATAAAAATAATAATGATGATAGAGTATAGATATTAAAGTAAGTTTTTATTTGTTACTTCATGGTGTTTTAACAGCCCAACCAAATGTCAAGAAATTTAGTGTACATGCAATATTTGTTTTAATGGATGATAATGGAATAGTAACTCCGTCTGCGCTAACGGTATATGCTGGCGGGACACCAGTGAGGGAGGATAGGTGAAAATGAAAAGGTAGGTCAGTTAGCTTATCGTGATGTGAACATTTGTATCACGTGGAGGTCGACCTGCCAGAGTATATTGCTAGCAATGGGACTGGCAGTCCCATTGTTAGCATTAATAACCCTCTTCTCTCCTCTCTCTTCATATAGTATTTGTAATACGTCCACTTTACCAGTATATGTTCATAGACCGAGATTAAAACAGTCTATGTTCTTCTCCAATCCCAAATTCCTCTACATTTAGCCGTTAAAGCGCTAAGAGTTAACATACTAATATACTTTTACATGTATAATACGCATGTCTTTATAAGGATACCGTTTCTATTATATTTATCACGTATGTTTTCCTGGTTCTTTAATTAAATTCGACAGATAAATTTCAAGGTTACAATATTCTATTTTTAGAAATCGTTTCTAGTCTAAGTAGACTATTTATTTAGGTTTTAAAAATAAGAAGTGTAATTATGTTGAAGTCTTATCTCTGAGATTAATTAAGAACAAGTTGTTATAATTCCTATATTAATAAAGAAAGAATGGAATGTATAAAATGGAAGAAAGGTTCTTGAGTGGTGATCCCATACGGGTAAACGCAGTATAGAACGCTTGGGCACCTTCGTTCATTCGTGTCTCTACCGTAAAGCAGTTGTGTTTGCAAGGCTGTGTTTCGGTTTGAAGGGTGGGATATGGCAATGAATTTACAGGGTACAGAGGAATATTTATTTATTTATTTATTTATATACCACCTGAGTCCTCAGGAATGGCAACGCATGGAGGGTGTCATGGACAAGAGTATACTCTGTTATGTCTATGATACTGTTCATGTTTAAAGGCGACGTTTATCACTTTCCATCAGGTGAGCCGTCAGCTTATTTGCCATTCTATGTTACATAAAAAAAAAAAAAAAACTAATGACTAAAGACATAAAACTTTTTGCAGTTTTAGATATTATTAATTATTATAAAAGTTTTAGTTATTATTAAAGGTTTTTGCGTAGTATGAATTAAATAGAATAAATTGAAGTTAGAACTACGTTAAATTTAGTTCCCATAATCTAATACTTTTATTATTTATACAATTTTTATCTATAGCGATAACTGCCGATTAATCATGTATAAAATTTATTTATTTATTTAAAATATAATACCTACTTCAATATCTGATATTTGTAACCTCACTCATACTCAGCCATGTCGCCAGGCCCGATCTTAGTTTACCTATTGCACCTGAACAAAGTTTTGACGGGGCGCCCCTCGGCGACGAAAAAAAAAAGGTTACGCCATCTGTTCACTCGAAAACTCCAATGCACTGACGTCCAATTTAATGCGGTCCTTTACTGATGAATGGGTCCTGTGTTGCCCGTTTCGATTTGAACTCTCTACCCCTCCCTAAGGCCGGTAATGCATGTCGCGCATGTATTATAAATATTAAATATGCGACGTGCTATAATATCCGGCAGTCGACGGATAATGACTGAAATGATGATGATGATGATGATGACGTGCTATATGCATAGAAGTAATAATAAAGAGCGACCTAAAATCTAAAAGTACTACTTTAGATGGGAGCTTATTAAAAAAAAGTTAAGTCTAAAATGAATAAAAATTGTGTCCCACAAAAAGCGATTTTAATTATGACAAAACCAGTTATTTTTATTTAAGAACTAAATTGATCCGACTTTATTAAAATGTCCATGGGTCCTATTTGTATGTATATCCTTTCAGTTAAAAAAAGAATTTTTCAAATCTGTTTATAACCAACGGAGGTAAATGGTATGAGGTAACAAATAAAAAACAAGTACAATCGAATTGAGAATCTCCTTCTTTTTGTAGTCGGATGAAAAAAGAAAGATGTTTAGCAGACGATACCTCAGAATCGAGCCAAAACATCTCTTACATAATTTGTTTTGTAGCGATAGTGTATTTATTTAAAATTTTACACTGATATGTTAAATATTATGTCTAATTTATTCAAGCAAATTCTAATCATGCAATAGGTATTTCGGTATTTTTAGAAGTTGTAAAAGTAAACACATTTATTACTTTTTTAATTGATGATTATATCATTTTGTAGTAACAAAAAAAAAAAATAGTAGATTGTTTATAAAAGTATTATAACCTAGCAACACAGCTCGAATTATCAATTTGTTTTGCCAATAATTGGGGTTAGTAGCAGATAAAAACACTTGGCAACTAAATGTTTTTGTACATATATAAAACGATCGCAATAAGCCCCTCAAATAACACGATTATCTCTATAATATATTGTGTTTTATTTGTTTGGACGAATTATTGGTGAATCAGGTGCCAGATACAACAGCAGTTTATGATTTTATTTGTACAGTAAAATGTCGATAATTGGGAACAATGTACAAGATACTACTCCTTTTATGCGAAAGTTTGTGATTCCATATTGATGATATGTTTGTTTCTCTTTCGCGCAAAAAATACCGAATGGATTTGAATGGTATTTAGTACACGATTGGTTTATATTTTAACTTAGAACATAGTATAATTTTTCTAATGATTCACGCGAGCTAGACCGCGGTATACAGATAATTAATAATACCCCTACAATGTCTCACCTATTTCTTCAACCAAGCATGTAATCCTAATTTCTAATTTGTAGTTATATATACATATAGTGTACGACAGAGAAAACACTTTTTTCAAATGGGTGGTAAAGGTAAATCTCCGCCTGCGCCATTCATATATGCTGGCGTGGCACCAGTTAGAGATGATAGGTGAGGATGAAATAGGTCAGTTAGGCCATCGTGACGAATTCAACGATAAATTAGTCATGATGGTCTCTAGCGGGAACCACGTGGAGATTAACTTAAGTGTATATTGCTAGCAATTGACTTATGCTAGCTAAAATCCCATAGAGAGTTCTACCTCTTCCTCTTAGAGCCCGGACCAGGGTCCACTTTCATAATAATTCATTCATAATTTTATTTCTAGGTGTACATTTAATACTGGGGACCATTGCTTAGAGTGGTGGCGTAGAATCAACACTGGCTTGGTCACCATGAGTTCAGTACAAGATACCTTCGCGGCGGCGTACGCGGCGTGGGCCAAGGAACAACCGTCTACTTCTATACACAGGGCGCTTCTGAGAGCAGCGCACAACTTGCAGGAACCGTGGTGGCGTATAGAGGTAAATGATTGCATGCTGTTTATGATAGCCTAGTAATATACCAAGACCTTGCTGCTGATTTCTGCTTTTAATAAAATTTGGTAAAAGATAAAATACGCTCGGGTTGCCTGCTCTCATTTAGCCGTAACTAATGGTTACGAGGCGGCAACCCTTACTTATGACGATTTATATATATATTTTATTTTAGTAACCTGTTTCGCACCTGGTTACACAGGTTGCCTGCTCTCATATTTTAGTTCGTTTTTGCTTATGAGTAAACCAGGTTTCATTAAAAAAAATTATATTTGCGTAAGTCAGTGGCAGTATCTTATTGTTTTTAGTTAGTACACGATTGCCCAAAAAACCTGTTTAATTTTAAGGTTCATGTATGTTTCTAAATGACTGAACAGATTTGGAGCTTATGTAGACATATGCGATATTGTTACATCATCTTAATTAATACTGGTTACAGTTATTTTGAAAATCGATCGTTTTGCCAAAGCAGCCATGTTTTTTTTTTATTTGTGAATCAAAGTGTGCTTGTTTTGAAGAATTCACACTTATTTCATTATGTATTTTGTAGTTGACACTTTATTTATAGTGTCTGGTTCTTGAGACTACATTTTAAATATATTTCGTTTTATTATTCCATCATTAATTAACACTTGGGTTTATTTATTACGTTTATTGTTTACTCAGTCAAAGCGTGAAAGTGAAATTGGCCTTGGCCTTGGTTATGTTTGCTTACAAGATAACTGGTGATTTAATGTTGATGAATTTTTCATTCACACACTTATTATTAAATTTCTACAACTATTATTTTAATTTAACGATTTCGTATTTATAAAGTATTACTTTATACTCTGTTGTCTATGGTATTGTTCATGTTTATTATGTGTATAGGCATCGGTTACCATTGTTCATCAGGTGAGCTGTCAACCTATTTGTCTAATGTGCGTAATAAAATAAACATAAAAAAGATTTTTTTTTTGTCTTTATTATATAATTTTATTGACTAAACGGTCAAAGATCTTAAGATTTTTGTTGTCCGGAACAGCTAAAGGTATTGAGCTGAAATTTATGTCAAATATTAAGGGTATCATTTTAAATTATAGTAGTGTAAATAAATCACGACTCTCAACTCTATTTTGATTAAATTTATGGATAATATTCATAGACAATAAAACTTTAGAAGTCAACGCTTTTATACACAAGTTTTTGATGATGTCTAACCGTTCGTTCTAGAGTTTCAATTTTTTTATATAAAAATGATCTTTGTTAATGATTGAGTAAAGGAAAAAGTCTTAAAATTATTATTTCAACATTTTCAACCGCGTATTTTTAGTTTTTATTTTTTAATCATAATATTATATTTATCACTGTTGCTATATCTTACAGGCTGAAAGACTCGGTTTCAACGAAAGCAGAGTATGGCGAATCTCAATGGCTAATGTGGAGTACAAATTGTGCCCGTCCTACCCACCTGCACTGATCGTGCCTAGATCTATCGGAGACGAGGACCTCGACTCTGTTGCACGGTAAGAGAACGCTGTACAAAACTAGTTAGTTGATTAGATTTTTTTTTAAATTCCTTTACTATAAGCATGCGTGCAACTGCCAACACTCGAAGATTGACTACTATTATTATTATCAGAAATTCCATAAGGTTCCATATTTTTTTAATGAGTGAAAATGGCATGGTATGGCCTGCCTGTGCTATCGGTATACACTGGCGGGGTACCAGTGAGAGGTGATAGGTGAGGATGAAAAGGCATGTCAGTTAGCTCATCATGACGAATTCAACAATAACTTGTAGGAGGAACCGAGTGGAGGTCGACTTGATAGGGTTATATTGATAGCAATGGGGACTAAACTTCCCATTACTAATAATCCCATCCCTCCCAACCTTCCATATTAGCCGTCAGTAAAGTGTAGTATTGTAAACAATGAAATCAATGTATTTACTTTTTATAAATATTTTACAACTTATCGTATTATAATTGATCGTTATTAATTTATAATATACATAATTTTTAACCAACTTCAAAAAGGAGAACGTTCTCTTTACTGTTGTATATCTTTATGTTTGTTACCTTATTATTCCGTCAGTTCTAAACCGATTTGGAAAATTCTTTTTTTTTATCAGGAAGAATATACTTATAAATTAGTTCCATAGATATTTTATCAAAATCGATTCAGTTAGTTCAGTTTTTAAATCAAAACACCAGATTTCATCATTTAAATTATAAAAACCATTTTAAATTATAATATTTAATGAAAATTTCATAAAAATAAAAAAAACGCGTCAAGTACTAAGTGGTCACTCACTCGTTTATAGTTATAATTCAGCATTGTATTGAAATGAGCGTATGAATTGAAATTTTTTTTTATTTTCGAAATAACTTTCTTGAGCGTACAAAAGTCTAATTAATTCCTTCTAATCTAGTAATAAATGTAAATTTCGTTACTTTTTCATATAAATATAATGTATGCTCTACCCACTGACATTGATGCTCCTTTCCACTTTGGGTTTGCTGGAAGAGAACTCTATTAAGAGTTATGCTCGCCTTTGTACATTTGATTACATCTGTCATATTTTTATAAAAAACTGATGTGTACAATAAAGAATTAAATAATTATTAATTTCTAGGTTTCGTGCTATGCGACGTATACCGACAGTTGTGTGGCGGCACCGTGGCAACGGCGCGGTGATAGCACGGTCGTCGCAGCCGGAGGTCGGCTGGCTCGGCTGGCGGTCGAGCGAGGACGAGCGGTTGCTGGCCGCTTTCGTCACAGCGTGCTCCGAAGACAGGACCACGCTCACGGCCGGCAACAACACGGTATGCTATGCTCTCCTGGTACACAAGAATACTATACGGACTCGTTATCGACGTTTACCATCGACGGAGCGTTAGTTTTTTATAATGGATGAGGTTTTATATTATTATTTCAATTGTCCAGTACTGGACATAAGTTTACCCCATAAGAGGAATTTTACCAGTAGTTGCCACGCTTGGCAGGCGAGTTGGCAATCGCAGTTAAGCTTTTACAGATGTTTTAAGAAGGACGCTGCTGCCTATCCCTCCACCATAAGTTCCCTTACTCGCCTCTTACGACACCCACGGGAAAGGAAGGGGTGATCCATTCTATGCCGAATCCTACACGACAGCGGCTACAATGGATAAGTATTTAATGGTAACTCTGCCTTTTCTATCAGTTAACGTTGATGGGTGAAAATGGTGTGGTAACCCCGTCTGCGCTAAGGGGATACGCTGGCGGAGCACCAGTGAAGGGTGATAGATGAGAATGAAAACAGGCCAGTTAGCCCATTATGATTAATTCATCGGGAATTAACCATGATAGTTTCCAGGGGCAACCGCGAGGAGGTCGACCTGGTTGGGTATATTGCTAGCAATAGGATTCTCAGTCTCCATTACTAACAATTCCTTTTCCCCCTATCAGTAAACCTTGGCGAGGTATTAGTGAATGATAGGTGAGATAGAAGTCAGATTAATTAGCTCATTGTGATTAACCACAGTGGTTTTTCCAGAAAGAGCTGCATGAATGTTACGTTTATAGGATAATATTTATTTATTTATCAAGGCACACCAACAGTACATGTATTACACATTAAAAAAATTATATGTTTATATTATTATACTTTGTCGCCTTTGTCTTCTTTGTTAAAAATAATGAGTCAATATTATACGACTATATATATAGGTACTGTGTACTTAATATAAAAGATATCATCCGCAGACAATGTATGTTCTCCTAGTAATTGCCCTGTAATAGTGGCAAGAGTCGAGGCGACGCGTACTCGCGTGGATAAAATGTAGTATTCAAATTGCCCACCTATATTATCACCAGTCATTGTTTACAATGTAATTGAGCGAGTCAATGGATTAACTCCCTGTATACATTATATTTAATGACATTCCACGTATATTGTTTATGCGCTTGTAAATTATCAGAATTTACAAGCGCAACCATAAAATGTAACCAGCAGTAGTTTACTATAGTAATCGAAAACCTCCGTATAGTAATATATTTTCGTAATAAATAATCTACTATATAATAAATCCTATTACTCTATATCTATATACGTATATAAAAATCTCGTGTCTCAGTGTTCGTTATCGAACTCCTCCGAAACTTTTTATAAATTGTTTTGTGTATATTTGTTAGATCTGAGAATGTTTTAGGTTATTATACCCATACGTGATAGGCGTGGTCTTTGCCAGATTTTTTATTTTTATTTTTTGAACAACATTTTTTTTTAAGCTAAATCATCAGAAAATACGTCGTATCTTTCAGTCACAGAGCCCATCCTCGTATACTTGCAGGCCCCGGCAGAAGTAATTAATATTTATTAACTTTTAGACTTTAGCGTTTCATGGTTCATAGTTTATAATAAGTTGATATTTGTTGTTGTAACATGGTATGGGTCCAGTGCTGCAATGCTATTTCTTAATTTAATCATTAAATTTACTAAGATGCGGCTTTGTAAAGCGTACATGATTGAAAAACTCCATTAGAATTGAGAATGTCATTTGGGAAAATTTCATTATATTTTTGCAAATATATATTTCAATTATGTTTCATTTTTCTATTAACCACAGATTACAAAAAAAAGTCCAAAAGTCGGTCTTAAATACAGCATTATTTTTCGATCACAATTCTTAGAAAAACATATGTATATATTATACTTCATTATGCAGTATAAGAGATTGAAAATAAATATAAATAATTTTAATGAAACATCCTTTCCTTTTCCGTGGATGTCGTAAGAAGCCACTAAGGGAACTTAATGATCGAGGGATGGCCAGCAGCGCCCTCTCTTAAAACATCACCAAAGTCTAACTACGGTTGCCAACCTGCCTGCCATACTATATATAAGTAGTTGCCACTTATAGCAAACTTTTCCTTAACATCTGATATGATGATGATAAACATTTACAGAGTGTGTCCTATGTTTTCCAGCAACAAAAGCTGCTGATCGTCGACGCTCGTTCGTACGCGTCTGCGGTTACTAACCGCGCTCGTGGCGGGGGCTGCGAGTGCCAGCAGTACTACCCGGCGGCCGACATACAGTTCATGTGCCTGCCCAACATACACCACGTGCGCAGGAGTTTCCAGCAGATGCGCGCACTCGTCGCCGAGCCCAGTGATCAGGCCAAGTCAGTACCGTGCACTGTTTCGTAATTATATGCACGTACATACGCTCACGCATTCTCACTCGTTCTTGACATACTTGTAGTGCTGTTTACCAACAATATTAATAGAGGTTAATAATTCGGTTTGAAGGATGGGATATAATTTACAGGGTATAGAGGAATAACACCTGAGTCCTCAGGAATGGCAACGCATGCGGGGGGTATCATGGGCGAAACAGTATATACTGCTTTCCGTCAGATGGGCCGTCAGCTTGTTAACCATTCCAAGTTGTATAAAAAAAAATGTATTAATTAATCTTAAAATAAGACATTATATGAGAAAGAAAATTTTGAAAATATAAAATGTTAAAAAAAAATGCTATGTGGATGTTTGGAGACTGAATTCTGAAATAAGTTTTAATACGTTATGGGCCCAGTTATGGCCCCACTTTTTTTTCTAAAAAAATTCTCTCGAATTATTTTCCTATTTGTAATTGTTTAAAAATTTAAACATTTTAAGCGATTTTACAAAAGAGAATATTTAATATAAAAATCAATAGTATTTTTGTCTGCGTGTTTGTGTATGTATATGTTATATGGTGTGTTCGGAGATTCTAATTTTTATTCTTTTACCTTAACTACCGTATTAATTTTGTCGCGATTTGGAACATTTTTGGATAATACAATTTGGAAATGTGCTAAACAGATGTACCATGCGCATATGCATGGTAGTGGTATGTTAGCGGCATGATGTGAGCATTAACCGGTGATGTGTGGTGGGCAGCTGGCACAGCAACCTGGAGCGCACGCTGTGGCTGCAGTACGTGGCGGGCGTGGTGCGCGCGGCGGGCGTGGTGGCGCGCGCGGTGGCGGCGGGCCGGCCCGCGCTCGTGCACTGCTCGGACGGCTGGGACCGCACGCCGCAGATCGTCGCCGCCGCCCAGCTCATGCTCGACCCCTATTACCGCACTATCGAGGTGCGTAACTGCCTTTTATTCGTATACATCAGCGCTGTCCAAACTAGATAGGATCTAGGCCGGTGTTTCCCAACGTGGGGCAATTTGATAGTTATAGGGAGGACTTGATGCAATTTTTACCCTTTTGCTCTGGGTCATTTAAATGCAATGCTACGAATAGATATCGATGCCAAAAAACAAAAATAGTAAATTAAAAAATAATGTAAAATAATGTCAAACGTAATAAGTATAATTTCGTTTGACATTACCAAAATATCAACTAGGCGATAATTTTTAATAATTTTTGCATAATTTTTTTTAAAAATTGTGTATGAGGGTATAAAAATATAAGAAATGTTCAAGTGGGGCATAGCACAAAAAAGGTTGGGAAACACTGATCTAGGCCCAATATTTGAGGGGTCGCAAAAATTTGTAAAAATAAAATGTAAATATGATATCATTATTTTGTTATTGTATTACTTTTTCATTAATTTATCTTTTACAATTCTGTCAACATCAATATCAACTAGTTAGAAAAAGAAAAGGTTTGACGCAGCCCGCCGTTATTCAGGAAGTATTTGTTGGATATTCCGTGGTACTAGGAGATCAGAACCGCGCAAAGCTTAACTGTTTCTTATGTATAAGAAATTCTATTAATTTCGCATTGTCAGCTATTTCAAATAATAACAAGTCTATATTGTCATACAGGGCTTCAGAATACTGATTGAGCGCGAGTGGCTCGACTTTGGGCACAAGTTTGCGGACCGCTGCGGACACCTGTTCGGCTCGGAGGACCCCAACGAGCGATCGCCGATCTTCCTGCAGTGGCTCGATGCAGTCCACCAACTGATGTTGCAGTATCCCTGCAGCTTCGAATTCAACGAAGCCTATTTGGTAAATTGCATTCCTTTATACAATTATTAATTTTTTATGTAACTTAGAATGGTGAACACTGACAATCTATCTGATGGAATGTAGTTATTATCGCAGTCGCCATGTGGTCCCGGCACAGAATAGGCCCCTTCTCCCATAAATGTTGTAAGTCTGCGTACCGAACATGGCAATTATTGGCAAAACCTCTCCTTATGAGGGAGGCCCATGCCCTGATTAATAGACATTATTTTGACTTCTTTTGTACTCTTTTGTATTGCGATTCAAAATTTACATAAACAATCGCAAAATGCGAACAGTGAATACTAGGAGCACATAACATACTTGCAGATAAAGCTGGCGACACACGTCCACTCGTGCATGTTCGGCACGTTCCTGTTCAACACGTCTCGCGAGCGGAATGCCGCGGGGCTGGCCGACCTCACGCCGTGTGTGTGGCATTTACTAGCCGCGCCTGCGTACAGGAACCATCTGTACTCCCCGCACTATGTCGAACAGGTATGCCTACTATTAGTGCATAGACATACCCGTCGAATTGTTTCGCGATAAATTTTAATATTTATGCTAAAATATGCAACAGATTAATGAAAATTAATTCCTATATCCTCAAAAGTAATGTATTATGAACGAATTGATGTAAGAGGTGAAACGAAAGCATGTACTTAAATATTATTAATATTAAAGTGACTGTTTCAGGTTATATGGCCGGACTCTACCGTACGCTCGCTGTACTTGTGGTGGACGATGTATGGCGGTGAGCGGGACGAGTGTGTCGACGATCCCGAGACGGGGTCGCTCGAACCTCTCCAACCGCTCGAACCGCTCGCAGCGACCGATACTAACCCGCATGCTGCAGCCACACACCACAAGCAGCGGACCTCGCATGCCGGTAAGTTATCTATTTTATACGAGAATGATTGATATATCGAACGAATCCATAACTTTAATAACAAGATATCATATCTTCGGAAAAATCTATAAGACTATTATTAAATTACCGAGTAGATTAGTCTTTTGGTCCTTTGAGCCGGATTGGTCAATTTAAATAAATGTAGATCTACTTCTATATTGATCTATCTAATATTATAAAGAGAAAAGATTTCATTTTTTGTATGTTAATTTGTAATGGATAATATAAAAAATTTCTTAACAGATTTTAAAAATTTTTTCACTTACAGTAAACTACATTATCAGTGAATAACATAGGCTACATATTATTTTATATTGATTTGTGTGAAGCCGGAGCAACTCACTAGTAAAATAATAAGAGAAAACTCTCTTATTTGTATACATAAATGCATTTCAATGTTTAGGCTGCTGAAGTGATTATGCCACTTAAGAGTTGGATTTATTATATAATAACCATACTTAAACCGGTTTAGAAAACGATGGCGTGACGAATTAAAAAGAGACTGGTTCGAAGTGGCGCAGATAGGGATTGGGAGGAAATAGAATAGCAAAGTTCTCTTCTATTTCCTTAAACATTGGGACATCGCGGGTTAATAATAGAATATAACCTTAAATACTAAATATATGTTTTATTTCAGGAATGGCAAAAACAAGATCGTGCGATAACCTTTTGGCTGAAGGGGAGAAAAGGACAACACAGCGGCGTAGTAGCGACCCCAATATAGCGCCGGATGTTGCGTGAGTACATTATATAGTTTTCAACTTTTTTTTTGCAACTATTGGCAAAATCCTCATAATGGCAAACAGCCATAAAAAATTGTCCCGTCCCTTATGACAGTCTATGGAGTAAGCCTATGTTGACATGACTGACGCTGACATAATGATGATGATGATTCCACCAAAACACAACTATGCAAGCACAGCTGTTTCATGGCTAAAACATGAGAAGTGTGGGACAGAGGTTCCCATGCAGATGACTTTTGTACAAACTGTACCTCTGGTAAAATTATCTGGCTATGTCTAGTAATATTCTAAATATGAAAGTAAGTTTATTACTTTTTGAAGTCAATCATTAGGAAATTTATATGTACTCCTTAAAAGACATGGATAGGCTATGTTATGTAGATGCAAGCAAATGCAGAAAATAACTGTGAATGGAGATGAATGGAAGAGGGAAACATATTACGTGAATACCTAAATTAAATAATTGGGATAAGGGTAAAAAGACAATGATGATAGTACAAATACTATCCTTTATAACTATGTCCTTCTGGGGGCAAAGAGGTTGCTAGCAATAGAGTTTGACAGCCCCATTGTTGGCAATATGTCCTATCAGGTCGTGGTTCCCCTTGGAAACCATCATGAACAATTCTTTTTGAATTCGTCACGATGGGCTAACTGACCAGTTTCATTCTCGCCTATCATCCTTTACTTGTGCCCTGGTGCCCTGCCGGTGTATACCGATAGCGCGGGTGGGGTTACCATTCATTTTGACCTATAATAAAAAAACCATGTTCTAAATTCAAATATTGAGAAAGACGTAGATAGGTTATTTTTGATCGCGGCAATTAGATTACAATGATTGTCTATACTCTTCAGGAAACTGTCGTGTGGTGGTATGGTTGCTGGTGAGAGTGAGTCGAGGCGCGGAGCGCTTACCGACAGCTGCGTCGACAAATTGGCCGTACTACCAGTAGCAGTTGAAGAACAGCACCAAGTAAGTAAACAAAGAACATTTACCAGAGCATCAGAAATGAATAAGAAGTTAACTCGTAAAACCAGTAGATTCCAAATAAATTTGTCAATTTCATTTTGTTTTGTTCTACAGTATAAATATTTTCAATACTAGGGATTTATGACTTGAAGGAAGTAAAACACGATGCATATTGTGAAGACATAGTGACATCTTTGGTCTTGAAAAATTACCTTTATTTTTGAGGGTTGACATATTTTTCTCGTACTTTCTATATCTTTTTCATTCTTTATTATACAGATATGTATGCTGTATATATTTATTTTAATGATCAGTACCTTATAGTCAGCGTCAAAAGTCGAGTTATACATTAAGATTAAAAAAAATCTATACTGACTGTACAATAGTCATTTTTATATTTTTAACTAATTTTTACTTTATATAAAATTTATTCAATTCTGGCACTAACCTGGTTTGTAAGTGGAAATCTAAAAGTATTCATCCACTTTTAAAGCTGACTATACCTAATTATTTTTATTTTTTTTTTTACTAAATAACTATATATACTAGGTATCCATAACTAACAAAGAGGTGCAATACGATAATAAGGCATTTTTTTTTATTTAGGTCACAAAACGAAACTTGAAACTTATATAATATAACCTGTTATTGTATGGCTAAGGATCTGTTCATATTGACACAGCTGTTAGCTTGCAACAACAAAATTCAACAAATATTGAATACCTCGTTGTTAATATCAATATTTCTTAATGATTTCTATTGTATTATAATGATTTATATCCAGTATATCAATTGACGTCAATTATTAATTATATTTATAGTATTATAATTTATTAACCTTCAGTTTGTTTAATAGGTTGTATTAGCAGTAGAAATAGTGTTGATTGTATTAGACAAATTAAAATTCCTTGTGGTAGGACCAGAATAGAGAATGCCACCTGTTCTGTCTGTCTTAACAGACTTTTCCATTCCATTGTCAATGCTCATTGCCTCAAAGAGGTATAAACTATAAAACTAGTTGAATGAAACAAAAAACAAATACTCAAAGCAAAATAATAATAATAATAAAAAGTTTAATAAACCCCTTATTCTTAAAAATATCCAACCTCTTATGTATAAACCATATTGAAGTATTTTGTCCTTTTCTTTTGCGTTAGATTTTTATATTTAAACGAAAGCGACAAAACACGTCATATAACTAAAATAGGTTTTTAGAAGATTCTAGTTTTTATGAATAAGGGGGTAAATATTTAAATAGATAAGAAGAAACTAATTAATAGGAATACTTTTTTTTTCGTTAAGGTCGGCGCTCTTCATCCTGACCATTTTGAAAACGCCCAGAGATTACCGCGCGATATTGCAAGCGGTTCTTCTTCTTTGGAGAGGGAGCTAGGGGGCGCGGCCGAGTCGGCCGACAGGGACGTAGTAGGGCCGGGGGCGGGTGCGGCCGGCACTAATGAAGACGTGGAGCGCGGCCTCGATGTGCAGGACGGCCCGTGCCGCATCCGGCATACGCCCGACGTCGAAACACCAGAGGAACAAGCGGTTTTTTTCTGCGACACGTATACTGATGTTATTGGGATGGCAGATGTGAGTAGCCAATTTTGCTTTTGTTTTATTTATTGTACTCTCAAGCTATGAATGTATCACTTAAATTCGCTTGTGAATTATATACTTATAGTTTTCTCGAGGAGAAAAATTTATATTGACTTTCCTTATTTTACTGAGGATGGTAATTCTTGTGATTGCCTACTTGATATGAAGTGACAATTGTCGCTCATAGACACGTAGATATCTTTTGTGCTTCCCCCTGCCTTATACCATCATTTTATGGATCCTAAGTGTTACCTTAACGATATCCCGCGGTTTAAGGTATCTGTAGTCCCCTGGCTCTGGATAAGTCGTTCCCAGTAGACTCATGCGCATGCTTGCTAACGAATCACAGTTGCACATCAAGTGTTCCGTGGATTCCGATTTCTCCCCGAAGTTTTACCAATAGTTGTCACGCTTGGCAAACGAATTAACAACCAAATAAAGACCAATGAAAACCAAGGGGGACTCTGTTGTCTATCCCTTGACCATTGAGTTACCTCTTACGACATCCAAGGAAAGGAAAGGGTGGCCTATTCTATGTCAGCATCGCACGGCAACTAGTTCGCTTACAAAGCGTAAATAGCTTAGTTGAGATTATAGCAGTGAGGATATTCCTTATAACAGTTTGTTATTCATACAGGCGGCGAGAGAGTCCGGTCGCACCCGCCACATCAGTATCACGTGGCGTTCCATATCAGAATCAAGCAACCAGTCGAATCCTTCGTCGAGCGGGTTCGACATCGAACCGCGTCGTTCGCCCGACGTACAATCCAGTGACGACTTGCCCAACAGCACCGAGCGTCACCGACACAGGCCCGGCCCCGGCCCTGGGCCCGGCCTTGGCCACGTCGTGGTCAACGGAGCTGTCAGCCAAAACGGCACCAACGGGCACGTCAACGGAACTAACAGTCACTTGAACGGACTGGACGAAGTCACCGGAAAATTTTTGGAAGTGGATTTTAATGGTGTGTATTTATTTATTCGATAATGCGTATGTTACATGTATACAAAGTTTATTTCTGCTTTTAATTATTATTATTATTATTTTGTATAACAATATAACATTTCATACATTTAAAATTAGCCATTGCTAATTTTCCTCATTAGGTAAAATTCCATAGTCAATTTTTCATTAACATCAAATTCATTTATTCAAACAAAAAAATATTTTATTAATTGCTAGCTATTTTAATTGTACTGTCAACACTGAAAAACGTTTGAATTTGACAGCACAATTCCCATCTTAAAAAAGTTTGAATTTGACACAAAAATCCCCATTATCAAAATGATCCGCCATTTATTGAATTCATTTGTTACACAAAATGTGATAAATGAAGAACTGCTCAACCAATTTTGTGCAAACTTCACATAAACAATGTACTAAATAGTCCGAACAAAGCCTAAATTGGTTTGGATAGGGGAGCCCGTTCTTGAGTTATAATATTACAACGAAAAGTAGCATTAATTTTTATATATATAGATTATTAATGTCATCGTGACTATATTTCTTTATTTTTAATGTACATTGACTGAGTTCATCTGGGTGTCCATATAATGTTAGGAAGTCTGTAATAAGTTTTTACTATTGGTAAGCTGACTCGACCGATATTGTTTTCATGTTAACTTTAAGCTTTAGTCACTGCTCTTATTAAAAAAAAAATAGCCAAACTGAGGGTCGCTTAGCTCAAGCTTACCCACGAAGATCATTTATATGTCACCTTAAATATTATATAGATAGAGTATTGAAGTTAAATTGACATTTGGCGGGCTCAATTTGATACATATTATTTTAAATCGCGCCATTTTTAACAGTGTTGCAAGTAATTGAATTAAATTTTTTCCAAAAGTTATTCTCAATTTCTTAAATTTAAATTACGAGACTCAGTTTTTTCTAATAATAATATAATAGTAATTTTCTAGTAATAATTTAAATATATGTATTACTTACAATTCAATAAATGTATAGGTATTTACTATTAGAATGACAGCAATTTTCGATTATTTTAAAACGAAAACATATTATAGGTTTATATATGGATATAAATCAAAATTATCAGTAAACATAAATATTATACAATTCATTATGCGCTGTTCATCTTGTCTTTTAAAATGGTTTCTTAATAATTAGGTAATATCGTTTTTATTTTTTAATTTAGTCTTATAATACCGTTATAATAATATAACCGTCTTTCAAAAAAAGCGTTAACGCACACTTTTTATTTTTATCCGAGCAGTAAGTACTTTATATTATTCTCAATTTCGTGTATAATATAGTATATGTCATATATGTGTAAGTATATTTGTTATTTATATATATTTATTCGTTTATATATGTAATTTTAGTACGTATGTATATTAATAATTAGTAGTACCGCATTCGAGTATTCTGACACTTCCCTATGGTTGACTGGGAGAGAATGCTTTTAGCATTAAGTCCGCCATGTACACATATTTGTACTAATGAATAAATAAATAAATAAATAAATAATACAATGTAATATCTCCCATTTATTGAGTTAAAGTAAATTGTACATTATGGTAACCCTATTCACGCATACATGGAGAAAAAAAGTCGACTTGTTTTTGCCGAAGTATTTGTATGCTGACACTCCATCTACATACCTAATATAAGCTCGTGGGGGAGAAGGGATTGTTAGTAATGGGAGTATAAGCTCCATTGCTAGCAATATACCATATCAGGTCGACCTCCACGCACCCCTGGGAAACCATCCTGGTTAATTCTTGTGGAATTCGTCACGATGGGCTAACTGGCCTGCTTTTGTCCTCATTTATCACCCTTCAATGGTGCCCCGCCAGTATATACCGGTAGTAGACGGGGTTGCCATTCCATTATCACGCACTAAATTTAAGTTAACGGAATTGAGATGGTGACGTGTGCGCTGGCAGGCGGTGCGACGTCTAGCAGTATTTCGTCGGAGAGCGAGGGCGAGGCGGCGGGCGGCGCGTGCCGCGTGGGGGTCGGGCCGGCGGCGCGGCGCGGCGCGGCGGCGCGCGGGCGCGCGGCCAGCCAGCTCACGCTGTGCCCCGCGTCGCCGCGCCGCGCGCCCTGCTGCCACTGCAGCCGCCGCGCCAGCACCACCAGTCAGTACTCTCTATTATAATCAGCGTTCTCTATTATCACCACAAACAGTAGACACGAACGTATGCCAGTTGGCCCGTCGTGGCGAATTCATACAAATTAACTGCTACGATAACATGCCCCGCCCTTCCAAAATCTAAAGGATTAAAATTGTCCGAGTATAGAAGTATTTTAAACAAAGAATATAATATTTACTCTTTAACGGAATCGAGACTAAAGACGTTTCTTTACGAACACAGTCAGAGCACCGATGTTTGTATACCGTCACACACATTTAAATAAAAAGTTGGAAGCGTGCCATTTTAACGTAGACTATGTATACAATATTTTTCGGATAGGACTGCGTAGAAATCGATCCGACACAGTATATTGTTAGCAGTGGAAGCTAACAGTCCTATTATTAACAATCTCTTCTCTCACTGAATTTTTATATATTAATATAATATTTAAAAAAAAAATGGATCTACACTATGAATTTATTATATCGTTCTGGAGAAGTATCTGGGAAAAACTCGATTAGTTCCCTTCCAAATCAAGCTCTACTTGTTTAAAGGGACGCTTTTATGCTGTCTATCCTATATTATTAGTATACACAATGACAAGACACACACGCACACGCACACGCACACGCGCACACACACACACACACACGCACACGCACACGCACACGCACACGCACACGCGCACGCGCACGCGCACACGCACACGCACACGCACACACACGCGCGCGCGCGCACACATAGTCTGTATTTTTTTTTTTTTTGTTAACTTTGCCTAAGTTATATACTAGAAATAAGTTTTAATGTTAAGTTTATTCTTGCACTCTATATCTTATTATTGTTATCTGTGTATTATAACACTAATTGGTTGCCTTGTATTTGTGTAGTCCATGGAGATGGGGCACTGGTGACTTGTAACACAGGTTCTTCTAAACCTACCGCAAGCACCAGTCTCTCACAAAACTGGTCTTCATTTCAAATTGTACCTCATGTTGTTACTTTATTCCACCTTTTGTGAAGAGAAATAAACCGTTCATTCATTCATTCATTCATTCATTCATTCATTAGTATACACAATGACAAGACTTAACAGGGGATTAAACAATGTGAACGAAATTAAGTATATTTAGTATGAAAATAACGCATAATGACAAATTCAAGAGAAATTGAAAATTGCAATAATTATCAGGGGAGATCAACCTAACTGGTACAATCTTTTCCCCTCTCCCATATAGGGTACCAAAGATGAACCTGTTATCCGTACATACACGAGTGTATACACACATGCATACACGTATAAGTACACACACGCGCACGCACGCACGCACGCACGCACGCACGCACGCGCTTACACACGCACACATACACACATGCACGTACGTAGATACTTTGTCCAGTAATTGGCGCAGTTGTGTCTCGGTGTGGGTACTGTAGGTGAGCGTGTCGGGTCGTTGCAGGCGGCGTGGAGACGTCTGGCGAGTCGGCGGCGAGCTCGGAGCGGCGGCGCGGCGCGTGCGCGGCGGCGCGCTGCGTGTGCGGCGGCGGCGCGGCGGCCGCGGCGCGCGACGCGCTCGACGGCCTGCCGCCCGCCACCGACCCGCTGCAGGCGCGCCTGCACCACATCATCCTGCACCAGAAGGTACGCGACACATATACTGCACGTCGCATGTTCACAATAATATATGTCAGGCCAGCTCGTCTACACTATTCCGAATTCAATATTTACAGAAGAAATATCACCAGAGGGAGACTTTGTACAAAAAGACTTTGTTTTACGACCGGCAGCCTGACGTTAACCATCTTTGGAAATGCTAACCATATATATATGGTTATTACAGAAAGTAGTGGAAGAGCTCAGTGGGCAACTCAGAGAAGCACGCGAGGCGCTACGGCTGGCGTCGCCCGTCGCCGCGCCGCCGCCACTCGCCGCCTCGCCCACGCAGGTTAGTATTGTTTTTTCTGTTTATCTCCTAATTACATTTCAAGGTATCATTCAACTATCTGCTTGAGGCCTCCACTATACATTTCTGTAGACGTTTTCTTTCATGCACAACTAAATTATGGAACCAACTCCCAGTAGGAGGGACGAGATTGTTAGTAATGCGGACTACTAGTTCCATTGCTAACAATATGCCTTATCAGATCGACCTCCCCTTGATTGCCCTGAAAACCATCGTGCTGAATTCTAGGTGTATTCATCACGTTTGGCTAACTGACCTGTCTTTTCATTCTCACCTATCATCCCTCACTGGTGTTCCGCCAGTGTATACCGTTAAAGCAGGCGGATTTACCGTTCCATTATCACCCATTAAAAAAACTTATTAGTAGCAGTATAAACACAATCTTAAATTATTCCCCCTTATTATATGATATTAAATTTATGTAATTAGTTATTAATTTTGATTATGTATATATTGTTAGTCTTTATAATCTGTAGCATTCTTTGAAGGGAACAATAAAGAGTTTTCATTCATTCATTCATTCATAATAGTAAAATCGTACCTTAAATAAATAATTATTTATTTGATCAACTAGGTGAACTTCTCTCAATACGCACACCCAGGAAATAAATAGTACAATGACATATTATTTACAATTATAATTAAAAGGAATAATATTAATAAGATAAAATATAAAAAATATCAATAATAGAAATAACATTGATATTCCTAAGTATCTAAACATAAATACTCTGTGGTCATCCGAAGAAACTTTAGCAAGTTGGAGGCAAATATGTCTAATTGTGGATACTGTCTCAAAACATCATTGAGTAGTTTCAATGCGAGTGAGACGGAAGCTTGCTTGGCTTATACTAATTGTTATCACTTGATGGTAATGATTGTGTACAATGATAGATGCCAAGCAGCGGCAGTGTAAGCGGCAGCGTGAGCGTGCGAGGCAGCGGTAGCGGCAGCGGCAGTAGCAGCGGCAGCGCCAGCGGCAGCGCGTCCGAGGTGGAGGTGGGCGAGGAGGCTCGCGGCGTGGTGTGGCTGCCGGACAGCGCGGCGCCGCGCTGCCAGTACTGCAGCAACCACTTCTGGCTCGCCAGGCGGCGTCACCATTGCAGGTACTTATCTTATACCAGAGGGAGCTATGTAAATAGCTGTTTCCGCGCGTTGCGCTAAGGTTTTAATACGAATATTATATTGCTCTTTTTTGGTATTTCATGTTATTTTACTATAAAGTATTATTATTTCTTATGGCATAATATTCATAGATTATATAGTTTTAAATAAAAAAATAAAAACAGAAAAAAATTAAATTTTCCAGAATGAAGTTCCACGGGTTTTTAGTACAGAATAATAGTCTGAATTTACTGTTTTAGTTTTTGCCAATCGATCCTTTACACGCTGTATATATACGAGTATATAAATACACATACATACATAATTGTTTAATGTACAATGTTGATATGCGCGTGTATTGTCCACAGACGTTGTGGCGGCATTTTTTGCGGTTCGTGTTCCGAGATGAGCTCGTGGGGCGACTGCGGCTCGGTGCGCGTGTGCAGGCGCTGCCGCGCGCTGCGGTGACGCGAGCCCGGCCCCGCCCCCGCACCCGCCGCCCCCGCCGCCCCCGCCACGCCCCCCGCCGCCACCGCCACGCTCGCCCGCGCACACGTCGCCACTCTACTGAAGCACACGTTCAACTGAGCCGCGATCTCCGCTACTATCTGTAGGTCATTGTGCCGTTCGCGTGATCACCTCGCGTACCTATGACGCCCTAGTACCGGCGCGATAGGAAACACGAGGTAAAAGGGAGAAGTAGCATTCTATTGACGATGCTCGTGAATGACGTTGCATGTATTGGCGATTGACGTGTACGACTCAAGTCATACATATTTTACTTCTGACTTTTCTTATGTTTGGTGTACTTACATCGATGGAATACTTTCAAGATTATCACATACGTGTGATACTACTTCTTTCTCTAAAATATATTTCCAGTATAGACATGACACAGTAATAGAATGTTACTTTGCCAACAGAATGAGAAACTATAGTACTGCGCATTTATGAATTCCTGTTACCGTTGTGACAGAAACGAAATACATTGACGTAGAGATACTAGCGGTATCACAGAGATGGTATCACTATCTCTTTCCTATTCGTGAACTTTAGACAGAGACAGTCGCTGCCTATATATATATGAGAGTTATGTGAACAGTCACGCGCAAGTTACATTGTAGGTCTAAATCGTTTATCTATTCGTTCTGTTACTAGTCAATCCGCTTCGATGAATGAACTCGACATCATTGTTAAAGGATTATATTATCTATAGGTGAATATGAGGAAATTTAACCAATACAAATAGAATAAACATTTATGCACTTGTGTATTAATTGTCCATTGGATTGACATTGAATATGTACAGTTACGTAAAAGGGTAAAGAAAGGGGGCGAGAAAAATAGTAAACTCTGTGTTTTTTTTTTATTTTAATTTGGCAAGCAATCTTGAGGTCATTTCAAAATAATAATAAATCCACAATTAGTAAAACTCTTTACCTAATTTAATTTGTTTACATTATAAACCTTTATTTCATTAAAGAGACTCAAGATTGTTTACTAAAATGGGACAAAGAGAAACGGACTAAAGAATCTAGTCTTTCGCGGTTCGTGGGACGAAGGTGGGGGCGCGCCGAGCGGCTGACGTAGTTAGGTAAATGAATAGTGAATGTTGTTATGCGAAAGCGTGTTTTGTACCAAGATTGTTTGACCGCTGTACTGACGCAACGTGTCTCACCGTTAAAGTGTTCTTTTGTCCATCGAGATTTACTTTCACCATCACGTCGGACGATACCCTGTGAGTGATAAAGGAAAAGATTGTAAGCTCTGTATAAACGATGTTTTATTTTGTTTATTTTTATTTTGTATAATAGTGTTTCATTTGTTCCATTCTTTTCTTTTTGTACATAGTTTTGTTTCACACTCGTACGTCGGCTGGCAGTTGTAACGGAAGAGGTCGCTCGTTATACCACCATCGCTTTGATGTTTAATTTGAATTTGGACTTTAACTTAAGTGGTGTATGGTATATTTTACGATTGCAAGTACTCTAATCGCAACTAATGTCATCGTAATATGTATTGTACCAACCATTACAGAAGGCTCAAATTTAACTGACAAATATCTATTTGTATCAACGCGATGCGGTCATAAACGAGTGACGTCCCTAAGACTGCGGTATACAAGTGTCAGTCGATCCGAATATCTACTGACAACGTCGCTTAGGACTTAATTTGTATATTCGACAAACTTGATTAATGTATAAAATACATAATCTAGCGATACTTGTATCGTTGTTACTCGACTGAAGTTATTTATGAACTGTGTTTCATATAGTGATGTTTCATGTAGTACTACATTTATTTATATCACAAGATCCACTAAACTTTGTTTTAGGTCCACTGTATTATCATTGAACAATATCACCGCATTGTATAGGCCCGATCCGTAGCGGCAGAGTCTAATGGAACAGTTATTGGCCATTAATTGTGGACCACAACTCTATATATCCGCAACTATTGGTCCATGGTTATCAATTGGCTATATATTTATTTAAACTCACCACGTTAGATTTGATCGCTGCGGATCTAACCATAAGGCGAGAGCCACATTCGTATTTTATTTGTGATATGTAATGGTAATTTTGTATAATTAAGAGTTTAATAACATGTTGTTAGAGATAAAATTTTACTGGTAATTATTTTAAATACCCTCGCGGTGCGTCGTTGATTTTTGCATTGTTGAATATTTGGTGGCTGCGGTCCACTGGCTCGATGCTCGTTTTGATAACTGTTTCTCTCACTACACTGATGGTAAGGTGCGATGGTGTTTTTTTTTTTTTATATTATACTTGAAATTTTACGTCTGTCAATAAAGTAGTACATCTACACATCTGTGCAAGACTTTTTTTGATATTTTTTTCTATTACTCTGTAATGCAATACAAAAATTAAAAGTAATAGGTAAATTCGCAATATTGAATACAGTTGGTTTTGATTGAAAAATAAAAAAAAAAATATTCATATGTAGATGTCAATGTATATATGTCTATATACATATCTGTCACGCTTGTCTCCCATTGGGATAGAACAAAAACAATGCAACGCCAAATGTTTCGATTCAAACAAACTTCTTTCGCTTCCTCCACATTCATTAATCTATTCATACACGGTCGTCAGTTACGGGTACTTTTAATTTGGTCCTTCTTCAGCATGTCGCCTATTTGGTCGACATACGTCCGTCTAGGGCGGCCTCTACTGACGTCTTTATTCATATGTGCTCGATAAATCTCTTTCGTAATTCCTTCATCCATCCACATTCTACCAATGCAATGTAGATGTAACTTTAGAAACAGACAAACGTGAAAAACGCCATGGTACCATACCCATAATTTACATATAAATAACTAAATTATGATAGTGTAAATGTAATTCGCTGTATAAATATATTATTTGTACTTGTAATAAGCTAATAATGTATTTATAAACAAGTACACTTGCATTACTTAATTCTGTCCGCCTTTTCTTTATTAATATCGATATATGATCCAATTGTATCAAATAACTCGGCAATTAAACATGAGATGTAATCTAAAACTCTAGACAAGTGGCAGTCGAGTATCGATAGATACGTTTTCGTTACCGCATGTATGAAAATGGATGACGCCTTATATTGCTCTTTCGATCTCATGCATGCGATACCGATATAGATAACACTTGTCTAAAGATGAGAAATACAAGGCAATATATGGATGAATGGGATCATTGAAGTAATTAATTAAATAATACTGCTTACACCAAATGGAAAAAAGATAATCATGATCTCTATTCATTCATTTCTTGTCCTTTGTGTAATATTGTGGTGTATATCTTATCCATTTTATTGTTGTTCTTTTAATTTCTGATTTCCAAATGCATCATGACAAGGCAGGCATTTTTTTTGCATCTCTCTTTGTTTATTTATTTTTTTTTTTTGTAACCGTTAAATCATCTATTATTTACATGGTGTTTTATGGACGATATGAGTTGTCCTCAAAAAAATAATGAAATGGATAAAGTATGTATAGATTACTATTCAATCGCACCGTCTATATTGATCATTTTGAACAATAAGCAATAGGTTGGGGAGGGCGGGGGATAGAGAGGGGGGAGTCGTAATAAATTGTAAAGACTGAATTGGAGGTAGGGGTGATAATTTTGTCAGTCACACGCAGGGCTGCCAATTGTAAAGGTGGATGAAATAAATTGTATATCATGAATTGGCTTGTGTAATTTATTTCTGTTAAGAAAAAAATATATAAATCAAAGTGCAAAACATCACAACGACAGCATTTAAAAATTTGCTAGAAAAGTAGAAATATTTCATGTACATTTACAAGTATGTAAAAAGTAAAGAATACCTTTTACGAATATAAAAAAAAAATTGCAATTTATGTATATTTGAAACTAATATACTGGCAACCCTGCATAAATTCGTTTATGCGTGTCAACATTATTTCGAACTATATTATATAGATCAACTGTACTGTCCCTCCGTCAGCGAGGTGACATGTATTGGTGCCAATTCGGTTCTACCACCTTAATTAAGCTAAAATATTAACAGATTTTGTTAACAACGGCATTAATTTAAATTATCCTAAAATAAAAACTGCTTTTAATCGGCATAAATCGTAAATATTCAACGGAATAAATGATATTCAGAAACCGGACCGCAACATTAGATAACACGTTGGAATGTAAAAGAGTTTTATAGCTTCAAGTGTGGGTATGTTTTTATATGAGTGTCGACAAAACCATCAATCACTATAGCTCGTCTACTTTATGTTCGGCGATCGCTGGTGGAGAACGGGGTCGTATATGAGCAAACGTGCTCGTCTCGTCCTCGTTTCCTTTACACTAGCCGCATCACGCACAGTTGCCAGATACTATTTTTTATTTTTACCTAAATGTCAAATATTTGTTTCTCCAAATAGATACGATTTCCTTTACCGTCATTTCATAGATTTTATATATGTATCACTGTACAGTTCCTAACTGACAAAACTGCCAAATTTCTCGCAAGTCCATTTCAATTTTTCTACAAAATTTTCATTTATCGAAAATTGTGTAAACAGAAAAATGTTTATTTAAAATTGCGAAGAAATATTTAACCTGGCAATGCGGTTTACATTTCTGCTCGTGTGCCTTGCGCACGCTAGGAAGTCCCGCGCATAAAGTTGTCGAGCTATACATGTAGTTTAATTTCATAACGATCAATTCATTAGGTAATAATAAATATAGATGCATCATTAATTAATGCGGTTTGGTGAATAAAATTTATCGATACTCGTTGAAAGAGAAGTGGACTGCTTCGTGTATAAATGATTTTGTAATTTATTCGTAATCTGATTGTTGTTATGTGCATATATTTTATATTGTAAACGCAAAGCTCTGAGTAACGTGTAAGCTCCATGTCGAAGTGCAAACCTGTTTGTGACCAATGAATATTGACACGATGTGAAATAAAGCATATTTAGTTTTTATCAAGTTGTTTTTTTTTATTCAATCTAGCGAAATTAATACCTACTCGATCAAGCCAGGTGCTTGATCGAGTAAAATGAAAGCTTGCTTAAAGGAAGAGAGGGATTTTTTATTGGTGAAGATGGAAGGTAACCCTGTCTACGCTATCGGTATACGCTGGCAAAGTACCAGTGAAGGGTGAAGGCAGGTCTTTTTTTAATGGGTAATAATGAAATGGTCACCCCGCCTGCGCTATCGGTATACGCTGATGGAGCACCAATGATAGATGATAGGTAGTGATGAAAGCAGGTCAGTTGGCCCAGTCGAGTAATTGACATTCATATTTAATCTTTACTTGTAACACAGGTCCTTTCAAAACCTACTGCAGGTACCAGCCTCTCACAAACCTAACAATTAATTTTTTTACTATCATTTCCTAATATCATTTGTGGAAAAAGGAATCCTTCATATACTTTGGCTTAAAAATTAAATTTCTCACAAAGGCATACGAAATGATAAACATCATTGTAGAACATAGTTTATTTCCCAGTATTCATCTTTGGTAAGACTTACGAAGACTTAAAAATAATTAACAATAAAGGTTTATCTATAGTTGGCAGTAGCTAATTTAAAGTATTACAAGATCGTTATTCAGATATGATGTTACGTATCTAATGAGATATCTAAAAACACATAACAATTATACCTAATATAGTTTTGAAAGATTTTCTATGGAAAACCAGTTATTCTTATTTAAAAACAAAAGTACTGAAGCATTTTGATAAAATTTATTTCAGATTTTCCAAATTTTCCAAATCGGTTTAGAACTGACGGACTTCATAACTATGAAGTAACAAACAAAAAAATACCATCCAATTGCTAATTTCCTCGTAAAAGTCTGTTAAAAAGTAAAAATAATACCACTGGGATTGATTCTGAGGCGCCATTTCTTAATCTCATCTTTAAAATTTTAATTTTACTGTTTAGTAAAATGAACATTGTATGGACCATCGGTAATTTTAATTCTAAAGCAATTCTGATGTAATTCTACTAAAAATTTAATTTATATCTAATCGGTCCTCAGAATAATAATTTTGAAATATCAAATTGAAAATAATTTTAGAGATAGGGAATGAAGCTTCGGAATCGACTCTACTGTATTAACAATAACAGAATTATTTAATTTTAAAAGATCAGCTAGTTAGCAGGTACATGAGATAGAACGAGACAGCGACATATCGTGTATTGTTCTTTCCCATATGTCTTTACCAAGAGATTCGTTTATGACTTTTTTAAGGAAGCAACATATCAAAGTACATAGTTGACATTTTGCTCATTGTAAATTGCGAGTTCAAACACCGACCGCTTCAATATTTTTCAATTACCCAGTATGTAATTAGTTGAATTACATTTATATTTTAATAACTATTGTAACAGAATCTTTTTATTACACTTATTATAACTTATGTCTAAACTTAAATTTATGAACTACTAAAAAGATAGGAATATGTTTAATTTCACAGAGCCTCTGTCAATTAATTAATATTTTTTTAATTAAGTACAACCTATTGAAGATAGATATCTAGCATCTAAAATAAATAAAGTGACTAAGGCGCAGTAGGCGGTGTATCGAGTAACATTAAATGCAGTTATTCTTGAAACATAATTCCCAACATTTCCATACAATGAAAGCCATGGCATACCATAAAAATTTCAACATTAATATTATATAAATAATAATAATACTTATTATGCTATATGACTAGATATATATATGGGAAAATTGTAAACAAGTGCAAATTTTTAGGCAACTCTTTGAACATGATGTGTTATTTTCGTTGATAATTACCTACTTACAGCCGTATACTGTATCTATACATCAAAATGGATAATAAAATTGGTATAAAGTATACTTTAAATTACTTATTGTGATATTACTCTTTCTACTGGCATCATTATCTATCTCTCCATCCTAAGAGTATCTGGAAGATCATATTGTTATTTTTTTTATACAACTTAGAATGGCAAACAAACTGACGGCCCACCCGATGGAAAGTGGTAACCGTCGCCTATAGACATGAGCAGTACCATGGACATAACAGAGTATACTGTTTCGCCCATGATACCCCCCCATGCGTTGCCATTCCTGAGGACTCAGGTGTTATTCCTCTGTACCTAGTAAACTAATAATGTTGTTAATCTATATAATCTATGTCATTCTTTGATGGGTACAATAAAGAGTTTACATTCATTCATTACTTATCAAAAATGTAGGTGACTATTCAGATATATATATATATATATATATATATATATATATATATATATATATATATATATATATATATATATATATATATATATATATATATATATATACACATACAGTTAAATTACATTCATTATTTCGATAGATTCGATTATATCTGTAAGTTATAATCATACAGAATTGGAAAAAAAAGTGATCTCAATCGGCAGGCGTTCATATACAGGCAAAGTAGTCTTATATTAAGATTTTTATGAACAATAAACTAAAATAAAATTCACATAATTAAATAAAAATATTTAAACATTCTTACATATTTCTATGTGTATTTTCAGTGAACACCGTCGAGAGTTTTAAGTAAATTATTGACTAGATATATTGCTATAAAAAAAAAAAAAACGTTATGCCGCAAATTTAAGACCCGTTTACATGGAGGGGATAGTTCTGTGACCACCCCTGAATTGTATGGTGTACATCCGACGATCTGAGCCTTCCGGGTACAATCAATATCGCCGTGTATGGGTGGAGTTTAGGACTATGAGTACTAGTAAAAATACAATAAATAATAAAAAAAACTATTAGGAAGGTAGTATTGCGTATGTTTTCTGTATTCTAATGTCATAATATATTAAATAATACTGCGACCAAAACGAGGCATCTTCAGGTAAAAGCTGTAAAATTGCCTGAAGATATCTCGTTTAAAGGTGAAATTTGTGACGTAAAACGTGCGTGGACTGAATAACGGTCGGAAATTGACGACTAATATGGAAGATTATAGAATTTCTGGTAATAATAATAGTAGTCAGTCAATCTTCGAATGTTAGCAGTCACACTAATGGTAGCAGAATTGAAAATATTTTTAATCAAGTAAACAATTAATTCAAAGTATTGTATTTAGATATAAAAATATAGGCCGATGTGTCTATTGTCTACGTAGGCCTTAATAAGTAAAAAACAAATGACTAGACTAGTAACGACATGAGCAGCTTCAAATTTGAAAATGTAAGTAAAACTGTAAGTATGAGTTACGTTTACTATTTCATAGAAAACTCTGCGAGTTAAATTTATGTACATACTTATAATAGATGCAAAGTGTTTAATTATACTGCAAACAATTTTAAACATTGGAACCGATTTGGAGTTGCCATTTCTCTAAATTTATCTCTCAACTTAGGTTAAGTGCATTTAACTTACTGTATTTTTGGAACATTTTAAAATGTTATAATAAATTTGAATAACAACTATACATGGTGTTAGTCGATCATGCATGGGTTTTAACGACCATGTAATTTTAGACATAGTACATTTAAATAAATACACATAATGTTAACAGAGATTTAAAAGAGTAACTGTTGAGCTTCTCGCGGGCTCTTCTCACCAGATAACAACTTTCCGAACTCAGTGCAGTGTGTAGTGCAGTGCAGTAAATAAAAAAAAAAAACTGACGATTTAAAAGTGCTTGTAAACAAGTCTATCTGAATAAATATAACTTGAATTTGAATAAAATTTGAATAATATGGACTTAAATCTATTAGAAAATTAGTTTATATTGGTCCTTACAATAAAGATTTCACTGTTTTTTTTTATACAACTTAGAATGGCAAACAAGTTGACGGTCCACCTGATGGAAAGTGGTAACCGTCGCCTATAGACTTGAGCAGTATCATGGACATAACAGAGTATACTGTCTCGCCCATGATACCCCCCATGCGTTGCCATTCCTGAGGACTCAGGTGTTATTGTACCCAGTAAATTCACGCCATATCCCACCCTTCAAACCGAAACACAGCCATGCAAACACAACTGCTTCACGGTTGAAACACGAATAGGACACAGGTACCCAAGCAATCGACTTTTGTACAAAGTCTCCCTCTGGTGGTCTCTCACTTTGATGTCGAATAGAAATTTGTCTAAAAAATCCTTTTTTTTTTAAACCAAAAATGTATATATGAACCTATTAAATTTCCTATAGGTATTGAGCAATATACAACCTATCTGTATAACATAATTTAAATATACATACATACATATATATCTGTCACGCCTGTCTCCCATTAGGGTAGGCAGAAACAATGGAACGCCAAATGCTTCGATTCAAACAAACCTCTTTCGCTTCTTAAATAATTTAAATATCATTATATTATATAATATAGGTTATGATATTACCTTCTCACATATTTACTAATAGTATATTAGTTTTAGTGTATATAGTAACGAGTTTTAGTAACCGCTTACTAATTAGTTGTATTACTTTAACAATAACAGTTTAAGGCTATTGGCCATCAAGCAAGAATGACTAGACAAGCAGTTTTACAATTCTACAGTCTGCTTAAGTACATTATATCCTTAGATTATATAAATAGTGTCCTTAGGGTTACCATAGTGTAAATTTATTACTTAATATATGGGAAAAATTCACATATAAAGATTCACATTTAAAGAATGGATTCGATCTAAGAAATTTTAAATCTGATTAATGGCAACATTGAACAAATGGCGCGTTATGTTTAGATTAAAAAAAATTGTCAACCAAATGTCAGTTTAGCTCTCTAGATATTTTGACACTCGATCTATATAATCTAAGATTACATCATACACAGTGTATCTACAAAACACATACCACCTCAGTCGTCTACTCCGATTAGTTATTAGGACGATGTAAGAGGGTCACAAGCGTAATCATCAAAAAGGATGTATTAAGGTTCCTTCAGGATTGGAAACGCGCACGTGACACCTTAAGTGTTGCCAGCGTCCAATTGTTTTTGAAATTTGACTGACAATTGCGACATTGCCACACTTTGTCAAGCTAAAATTATGAATGCCTTTAAGGACTAATGTGTTATGTGTCTCGTGACAAAGATTATACTGGCAATATTATCCTTCAGACTGAAACACAACCACGTATTTTGCTAACTGCGGAAATAACTAAGACCTACCTATCTACGTAAGTAATACAAAAAACTGCCACCAGTATTTTTTAATATATAATAAAAATAAAAAATCAATAGATCTATTGCTAGCAATATCTTCATCTTCTTAGCTTTATACTAATTATTATATTATTTGGGATCGACGTAATGTTACTCAAGACTTTTAGTTTTACTACCCGTCGCCAGACCGACATCAACTCTTATTGCCAGCAATATATCCGGCTAAATCGATCTCCACGCCCCACCTGGAATTTGGTTCCGGTTGGTGGCATCCCACCAACCGGAATTGGGTTTGGTGCTGAAATCAACAGGCCTAATGACTTGACTTTATTTTTACTTTATCATTCTTCACTAGCACCTCGTCCACAAAGAGTAAAAGAGTAGCACAGGTGATATTACCATTTCATTACATTCCGTTCAAAAGTTGAAGATTATTCAATAATTCTGTGATTTTTTTTATGAGACTTAGAATGGCAAATAAGCTGAAAACCCACATGATAGAAAGTGATAACCATCACCTAAAAACATAAACGGCACCATGGACATCACAAAATACCCTGTGGTACCACGGTAACACTCATGTGTTGCCATTATTGTAGACTATAGTGTTACGACTCCATATAATGTAATTTCATAATGCAGTTACCGGTGGCAGCATATTGTATATATACTTAAGCCCTTATTCATAAAAACTAAAACCTACGAATCTACTTTAAATAAACTGTTTTGTCACTTTCTTTCCTATTGGGAATTTAGTATAAAAGAAAGAGACAAATAGCTAAAATAGTTTTACAAGTGGTTTGATGTTTTTATGAATAAGGGGGTTATTTGATATGCACATTTTATCTCTATAATACACAATGATACGTCTGTCTATTGTGTGTTAGAATTATGCGTTTTTTGATAATATTTTATTATGTTGAGTACCCGACTTCGGGATACCTCTATGGCCTTATACATAGCAGGAGTGAATGGATCGAAGTCTTGAAGCTTTTTCTTTCGTCTGTATATGCCTTCTTTGTGTTTCATCGCACAATCCATGTCAGTCTGGTAGCAATGAAATATTAAATTAATAAAATATGAATACAGATTATATTAAATTTAAATTTTCAATGAAAATTTTAAGACGCCATTTGTTTACATATTCGTAAAACAACGTTAAAAAAAAAAACAATGTTTTTGGGGTTCTAATTGTAGCGTCTGTAAATAAATATTGTAAATATTCATCTCATAGCCACTTGTCAACATCATTACTTTCTTTTCCATCAAGTAGGTTAATTAAATTGTACATAGATTTCACCTCTTTCTTTCCTTCGAACTGGTCGTACAGACATGACAGCGACGTTTACTTCTTACATTAATTTCTGCTGTCATTCTCTCCATCTCGATCGCTCGTCTCTTACGCTCATAATTTCCGTTTTTATATATTATTTTTTATATATTCCTTTGTATATAATATTTACCTTCTGTATATAATATACGTGAATAATCAAAGTTAGTTGTTATACTTATTTCCTCCGAACAACTACATAATTATCAACAGTTGAGTATTTAATGTACATTTTGATTCATGAGTTTTCCATCTCTCGACAATTAAGTTCCCTTAGTCGCCTCTTACGACCTTCGGGGGAACAGAAAAGGGGATAACACAGCAAAGTGAGGAGATTATTACAGGAAAATTACCTCAGACACAGTGTAGTTTAAGAAATTCAAAATTCCCTGCAGTGTGTTCCGCGTCTCAGATACCAGGACTTCATAGAACACGATATGTATAGGTCCCTGGAACTTGGTGAACCACATGCGGTGCAACGACTCCCACACTACCAGCTGGCTCATGACGTAGGTAGCCCAATCTGAAAACAATAATAAACTGTTTAACAGATTGTGTACTGAAGAACTTTTCAATATGATACCTACGTCCACCTTTCACCATCGTAGCGCTCGCTATCGACAGGGAATCCATCTTCACACCTTAGAACCAGAATGGTCACGTACAGTGGGGGTTCAGAGCTTCCTCAGGGAACACTTAGGTTGTCGAATGATCTACCTGTTGAGGTTTTCTATAGAGACTACTACATGGTGCTTTCCAAAAAAGGTGTACTAAGGTTTCTTAAGGGTAGGCAACGAGTGCATGACATCTCTAGTGTAACAGGCATCTATAGGCTACGGTAATCCCGTTTACCGACAGACGGGCTGTATGCTTGTATACTTGTTTACCGGAGTAGTACAAAAAAATATTTAGTATAAATAGCGCTCGTACATACTATGGGATACCAGAAAACTGATAGATATTTGAAAATACACATAAGGTAGGGACGTTGTTTTACGGAAATGAGGTTCCAATTTAGAGATCTCGGTCGAGGAAATTTATAGAAAATATTTTTTTATAGATTGACTCGGCTTTGGGTGTTTCGGGCTATGAGCCCAGATATTCATTACCTAGTGCCTCATCACACAGGCAAAGTTGAGGCCCAGGCAATTAGTCTAATTATATAACTTCTTCTATATTACTAAATTACTATTAATAAGTTTTTTGCGCTTGGATTCAGAAGTAGGAAAATCAGGGAAATAATACTTTTTTTTATTATAACACGATATGTGACCACGCCATCTTGAGCGAACCAGAGACGACGTGATCTATGAATAAAAGCAACCGAAAAGAGAATGTTCCACTATCAACATTTGGCCGCACGACGCCAGCTCACTAAGTGCTTTTAAGCTTACTTCTCTCATAAACCTATTTTAGCTATTGTTTTGTCTTTTTCTTTTGTGCTAAATTCTAAATTTGAATTAAAGTGACAAAACAGTTTAATAATTAAAATAAATTTGTAGGAGGTTTAAGTTATTATGAATAAGGTACCCTCTTATTCAATAAGTACCCCCTTTTTTTTTAATGGGTGATAATCGAATGGTAACCCCACCCGCGCTATTGGTATACACCGGCGGGGCACCAGTGAGGGATGATAGATGAGGATGAAGCAGGTCAGTTAGCCCATCGTGACGAATTCAACAAGAATTGTTCACGATGGTTTCCAGGGGGAACCACGTGGAGGTCGACCTGATAGGGCATATTGCTAGCAATGTCGAACTCCATTGCTAACAATCCCTTTCCCCCCTAAGTACCTCCTTAGATAGTCTTAGTGGCTAAAATAAGATAACAACATACCTTACCTGTCTTTTTATACTCTGAAGATTTCATCCTAAAAGCTGACTTTGGAGCAGTACCAATGTGCCCCTTGTGCAGTCTGTTAAAATCCGCCTGTAATTTATACAATAAATATATAAAAAATACTATTTGAAAACAGTGTATTTTAATTTTAAATCACAGAATTAATTTTAAATTTTTATAAAAATTAACATAGTCAAAAGAATTGTATTTCTACCGTGAAGCAGTTGTGTTTGCATGACTGTGTTTCGGTTTGAAGGGTGGCATATGGGATGGATGGAGTGAAATATGGCAGTGAATTTATAGGGTACAGAGTAATAATACCTGATTCCTCAGAAATGGCAACGCATGAGGGGTATCGTGGGCGAAACAGTATACTCTGTTATGACCATGGTATTGCTCATGTCTCTAGGCGACGGTGACCACTTTCCATCAGATGGGTCGTCAGCTTGTTTGCCATTCTAAGTTGCATAAAAAAAGATTTAATTGAGGCTACTACTTTTGGGACATTTTGACATAATTATTCAGAATTTATAGTAATAATTTTTTATTTTTTATATACACTGCAAATAAACCGGGCCACCCGCTACATTTGAACTCTAATCCGATTTTCTCAAAAAATATAAAACTTACAACTGTCAAAGTCATACCTATAGAAAGTGCGTTTCATGACGATTATAATTAATGGAAACGCATTATGATTTATCAATCAAGTATTTATTAAGAATTTTACAAAGACTGGACTGGAAGAAGGACTGGAAACGACTTATCGTTTCCAGTCGCGTAAATCGTTTGTTATCATCAAGTAAAAAACAAATTAAAGCCGGAACAAAGAAAAAAATTGAAAAAAAGTTTATGATTAGTGTTATTAGTTATGGGCAAAACTAGTATTCTGTGTTTAATAATAAATGAGTAAAGATATAACACGTGACCGAAATAAAAAGTAGCCTATGTGCTTCTCACTCATCCCCATATTGTATCTGTATAACAAATTTCATAAAAAACAGTCATAAACAAACAAACACACCTTTACACCTTCTATATACTTATAATAAATCTGTAGAGGTCAATTCTGTACCTGAAATATATTTCCAAAATAACTATCAGGGGGTGATTAGTGATTGATACTGATGCCAAAATGCAATCAGTAAAATTTGGGTCTGTCCGTCTGTATGTTTGTTATAGAAACACTACTTGACGGATTTTAACGAAACCTGGTACAATTATTCTTCATACTCCTGGGCAGGTTATAGTATACTTTTCATCACGCTACGATCAATAGGAGTAGAGCAGTGAAGGGAAATGTTGGGAAAACGGGAGAAGTTTTTAAACTTCCATTTTTAAACTTCCGTCGCGTGTGCAGCCTTAATGGCCACTTTTTAAAATGTAAAAATGTCCACCCGTGCGAAGCCGGGACAGACGGGCCGCTAGTTTATAATATTAATAAGATTTTTATTTATAATATAATAAGAATGGAGACTGTTATATGTTAAAAAAAAAATATATTTTTAAGATAAATCTAATATATCAAATTCTCGTGTCGCGGTGTTTGTTCCAAACTCCTCCGAAACGGCTTTACCGATTTTTATGAAATTTTGTGTGCATAATGGATAGGTCTGAGAATCGGCCAACATCTATTTATCATACCATAATACATACAACTTCAAATTTTCACGCTTTTACGATCGACCCCTGTTCTTTAATCGCGATTTTTATATTCCGCAATAGGGTCGCAAGATGGCGATCGAATATAATAATTGTAGTAGGATAAATTTTCATGTATAGTTCTCGAAATAATGTATATGGTAAAACAACGTTTGCCGAGTCAGCTAGTAAAATATAAAAATACATACATGTTTAGTATATAAATTGATAACATCACAAATATTAGTTAGAAATAAAATTATAATTATTATTATTTAAATTATTATTTATTTAAATGATTATTTATTAGCGTTTGGTGTTCCATTGTTTCTGCCTACCCTAATGGGAGACAGGCGTGACAGATATGCATGTATGTATGTAAAATTATAAATATTAAAAACAAATATTCGTGATATGGTTACTATTGTATTTATGTTATCATGCATCTCATGCATCTATTAATTTACGATACTCATAATGTCTTTTCCATGGGTGTTGTAAGAGGGGTATTTATTGATCGAGGTATGACCAGCAGTATCTCCCTCAAAACAATAGTAAAGCTTCACTGTGGTATCCGCTTGTCAATTATAGCAACTACTTGTAAAATACCCCAATAGGAGGAGGCCTATGTTCAGCAGCCAAATAATGGCTGATATAATAATATAAAATTTTATTTCTAGAAGTTTAGAAAGTTCCAATTAAAAAGCACTTACATTTAAATGGTAATATTAGTGTGTTGGTTAAAATTAAATAAGGGAAAAATTAAATTAATAATTTAAATATAGAAATAAAAATTACCAAAAGTAACATGTAGAAAAGACAATATGCTAAAATGGTGGTGGAAGCGACATCAACATTATTCCTGCAGCAAGAGGCAACTGAAACTATATACAAAACAAGCTTATTAAAAAGAATATGTACATAATTAAAAAAATACTATTTACTTATATGTCAATAGGTGAATGATTAAAAGATTTCAGTAAGGTAGAGATATGTATTTTATTTAATTGGGTTGGGACAACCCAATTGACCAATTTATCAAATCGTCATAGTCGTAGAATACTGATGGATCTTTATATGTAATCTTTGTCAGATCCGTCAGTATTCTACGACTATGACGATATATTAAATTATCAAAAGTAATACCACCTTAGTCCTCAGGAATAGATAAATATAGGGAGTACCATACATAGTGTATTCTGAAGTCCATGACTTATGTTAATGTGGGATGGTTGCCATCATTATCATCATTATCTAGTGAGTAATTTTCTTGTTTATCATTACTAAGTTAACTGAATATTGGATCTTACAAATGGCAAACAACATTTATTAAAATAAAAGTTATAAAAATCTGTTAAATGTATTCTTGTAAGAATAAATATATTTTTGTATATTTATTCAATTATTCAAATAATATTACTATTTATTTCTATTAATTTATTATTATTGAATCATTTTCCTGTTACCAATATAGGCTTAATAATTTAAATTGTTTTATAATTTGAATGTAGTTCCATTTCTAATGTATTGCAAAAAATATTTTTTTTTTTCATATTTGTCTGTCATATTTTTATATTAAACATGCATAGCAGAGACTAGAGACAGATTGTACAACTATAAAACAATAACTTCAACATAAACTTATTATTTATAGATAAAATATATAACTATTTACACACACTTACATAATACTGAAATATCTTATGTGAATACTCACCAATATTGCATCCCGTGGGTTTCTCATTAATATAATAGCAGATTTAAACTTGTCAGACTCAAGTGGTGGTATTTCGTGGGTTTTCACTACAAGAACTGAGCCATCGGTTATGTTTTCTGCTGGAAAACCATGCACCCGCAGACCATAATCCATATAAATTGAGCCTGTCACTACACCTATAATGAAAATGTTTACATAATATATTTTTTAAATCAAAATTACCTAATGAAAAAACCTATTTTTTATTTTTCTATTTGATATCAGCTAATTTAGGTTTTGATCAAATTTCATAGTTCTTAAAAAACCTACAATAGTTTTTAATCAGTTGAGATTGGCAAACAAGCTGAAGCTGACCTGTACACTTGGATGGACAGTGGTAACTGTAGCTTATAGAAATGACCAAAATCATAGTACATGTCATGTACTGCCATTTGTAATGATTAAGATAGTGCCTGCATACCCTTTAATATTTAAATATTACTCTAGCTTTTTTAATAATGAAGATAAACAAAACAATATGTGTGCTTACCTGTAACTTGTTGTAACAGGTACCTAAGCCATGTATTTCCACTTCCAGGGTAAGAGACGAGCGCAACCACATTAGGTGACGGCGGAGATCGCCATTTGAGCTCTTTACACCAGACCACTTGGGGTAGTTGACGGTAAGCAAAATGATTCATATAACTGTTCCCATAATATGCACTTTTGGCCCCATGTAAAGGGCTTAGCATAAATAAGATTATAGAGAAATAAAGCATCACTATTAACGCGGCGAATAAGAATATTGACCGACGAGACATGATTCAGAAAAGATGTTTGTTTACAGAATGTGAAATATAAACATACAAATACTTGATAACACAGTAATCGCTCGAGATGGATAACTTAATATGAAATAGAGAAGAACATTGAAGTAACTATAACTCTGTAGTAAAATTCTAATTTAATTCTTAATTTAAATATATATATATATATATATATAATAAAACTTTAATAAAAATTATAAAATATTGTCTAGGTAGGCCCGACTAGAATTACAATTTGGTTTGACACTTCGAATGACATCGACTGACAGTCCTGATAAATTATTTTTGGCTCGCCCCAATTAGAAATAATTTTCTAGGTAGGTAGATCCTTAAAGCAAAGACTTACAGGTAATAGGTAGGTAGTAAATTACTACCTACCGCTATTAAGATATGAGCAATATTGATGAAATATCATTATTGAAAATGATACACTGTTTAACTATTATGAAATAAAGTTACCTCGAGATTTTTATTGATTCCTTAAGATTAAATAATTATTATTAGCTGGATAATAATTTTATTGACACCTCATTAACTAAAACACATTAAGGGATTTCTTTTTTTGAATTTACGATAATCCCGCCTGCTTAGGGAAAATATAGTTTGTTAGTAATGTGGACTAATGGCGCCATTGCTAGCAAGTACTGTCAGGTCAACCTCTACCTTAACCTTCTTCTTGCATTCATCACAATGGGCCAACTGACCTGCTTTCATACTCATCTATTATCCCTCACTGGTGCTTCACCAGTGTATACCGATAGTACAGCGGGGTCACAATTTCATTATCATTCATTAAAAAACCCACGAAACAGGAAGAAGCAAGAGAAAAAAAGAACAAGTCAGGGAATAATGGAAAAAACATACTAATATTGAAATAAATATTTATTAAATAAATTATTGTGATGAATTGGCAAATCTTAATTTTCTTAATATTGTATGGCAATTTTCTATGTTTCCTGTACAAATTTCCAAATACATCTGCAATGGTAGGACTCTTGGTGAATTTATTTGTAATAGTATTTTCCTTGCAGTTACCAGATCACCTCTTAGGATGTGACAGACTGCAGCTTTTGCCCACACAGATACAGCAATCATGTCTCGCATCTGATAAGGCATTACTGATACTAACTCATGTATCATTGGTGGTTGCAAATGTTCTACAGCATCAGTTATTCTGTCTAGATTAATTAAAGCTTCTGCAGCATATATGTGTGCCCATGCTTTATGGCTGTTCGATACATCTGGCTGGCTCAATAAATCATTTGCACTTGTAAGGGCAGAAAGTGGATCTTGCAAGTGTAATAATATATAACTCTGTAAGACAAGTGTAGAATTCATTATTTCACACCTTTGCTTCCAATTGATTGGAGGTCCAGGTGGAGCTTGTACCAGATAAGTAGATGTGTCATCATTACCTTCCTCTGGACTAGGTAACAATGTCACAGCATTTCTTAGACAGAGAGCAGCAAATTCTAATGATAGTGATGGTATTGCAAAGGATTCACCCGAAGTAGAGTATTTTTCTTTATTTTCTTTTGCCAACAGGATTCGTGTGTGGGGCCCACTGCCTAGTTTTCTTACAGTATATTGTTGAGCCTCTTCACTGCAACACTTTTTTACACAGCATTCAGCCAAGTGCAGCCATATTCGAGGGTTGTTAGGGTAATGTCGAGCTACTTCTACGAGACATTCAAATGCTCCCTCATTATTGTTAGCTGCAAGTAATGCTAATCCTAAATTAAATACATAGAGAGGTCGGTCTTTACAGGCTATCAGCCTTTCACTGTCTGGACTTTCCATAGCTTTGAAATGTTCTTTCACAGCATGTTGAAAGTATTTAGAAGCTAAGTATGGTTTTTTTATTGAAAAATAAATGACACCTAGATTGTTATTTATAGCAGCCCATATATCTTCACCTTGAGATTTTAAATCATAAGTGTACTTCAATGTTTTATACTGACCAAGAGTGTTGGCTGCCTCATTCACATCTCCATTTATATAATGTTGCTGAGCAATAACAAATATATTCTCAATTGAGTCAGTCTTCAAGTTAAGTTTAATCTTCTGGCCCAGCAAAAGCTGTGCTCTATTTACAAGCCTTTCAAATAACTCACCAACTTCATTATTATTTTTCAATGATTCTCCATACATCTTAGCTACCTCTAATGTTTTATCGTAAGTACGTCTACATAATGTGGCTTCCAGAAGGAGAAGTACAATCTGTTGATACAACTTACTATCTTTAATGTTTTTGAAAGAAAGTATTTTTTCCAATAAGAACACGCATTGGTAATAATAACGCGAGTGATAGAGAAGTACAGCATAATTGTAGAAGAGGCACGGAGAATTTTGATCCTTTATTTCTATATCAGGAAAAGTCAGATTCGTCAACTGAGCAATAGCTTTCTTGAATTTGTCCACGTTTTTCATATCACTAGCCATGAATTCAACTACGGCTTTATTGTGCTGTACACGTTTATTATTGTTACCAACTAAATTTTCTAATTCGTTTAGATGTTGTAATGCAGAAACGTAGTCTTTTTTCATAAAACATTGTTGGGCTAAAACGGCGGGTTCTTGTTCTTTATTGCTCGTCATATCGGTTAATTAGGTCACAACTAGATCTTCTTTAGGTCGAAATAGTTAACTTAGTGAGGTCGATGTGTGAACGTTATTTCTAATAGAAAGTATATTTAAAAATATTTAGATTAGTTTCATTTCAATTCATGAAACGATCAAATCAAAAATAGAATGAAATTCGAAATTACGAAATGACTTTGACATTGACAAATTTTCACATTGCTTGTATTTTTAAACTGATACGTTTTACCTGTGGTTTATCTACAAAGAGTATAATAAATTAAGATAGTTTAAAATCTATATATAGACAACCAAGCATCTATAATTTATAAGACAGACGACGAAGCTCTTAGGTGTTCTATGTTCTATAGCTGTTTGGAAGACAGAAATAAAGGTCGTCTTCTTCCTTTGTCTAAGAAATAGAAATGGGTTAAAAGATTTTTATATTAATTTTCGTTTCCTTATGTTGAATTGCAGGGTCGAATCTGCACATCTCTTTAATCTGTGGTTACTGTTTTTACAATTTGAAAAATAATTTATTATTTCAAACAAATTATCATACTGAAGACTAGGCAGCATGGTCTCCGATCTTAGCTTGTTCCATAATGGAACAAACGTACTAAAAAAAAAAAAGAAGTTTATTTGTAGAGGTTATGTTTTTTGTTTATTTATGATTTTTTGAAATTGTTTTGTTATTTTATTCAATTATTATTACATTAAATATACTAATTACCTTACTCTTTAGATTAAATTCACGAGCTGTTGCGAACTTTGCAGATTCACCGTTTATGTTTCTTCTGTTCGTTGTCCACTGTTGATCATAGGAGAGGACTCCTCTCCTCCAGACTGTTAATTGGAAGAGTAGTTCTGATTAACCTGTATTTATTGATATATATTGCTGTATAGTGATACTAATAAAATGTCACGTGAAGATTCACCCCATAATGCAAGTATGCAAGCAGTTATGAATTTTATTATGTCAAATGTGCCTAAAAAAGATATACCTAACGTGGAAATGGAAGCGAAAAAGGGTTTCGTACTTTCAAAATCGAAAAGCAAACAAAATAAAAGAACTAAACCAAAGCGTAAGAAAAATGGCCTTACAAGAAATCAAAAGAAAACATTGGGGTTTTATAATCAACCACGAAATTTGATTCAGTATGCAGATGTCATACCTATAAATAATATTTGGGAAAACTATATGGAGCAGCTCTTAGGAAAAAATATGCAAATTCCAACCCCCAACAGTAAGGGATGGGAAAATATAACTCAAACATTGTACAAAGCAGATTTTCATGGTTGTCGCATGCATGTTGTACGCTCCAAATGTCCAGGATTTGTTGGTAAAATGGGTATCTGTGTTATGGACACGAGGAACACATTCAAAATAGTTTCCGAGAACAACATAGCTACAACAATACCAAAGAAAGATTCTGTATTTGAAATAAGTTTTAAAGATATGAAATTTACTATATTTGGCCATCATTTATGTACAAGACCAGCAGATAGAACCTCAAAAAAAGTAAAAGGTCATTCATATCCAGACTTTTGTTAGAATAGTTCTTTTTTTTATGTAGGTATTTAATAAATTTATGTGTAATAAGGCTATGGTATTTTCTTAAAGTCAGTCACATCATTGGTTTATGCACACAGCTTTCCTTGTGCATCAATAATTATATTAAAATTAATAAACTAGCTTCTAATACTCTTGTGTGTTATAGCATCATGCAGACTAGCAGTTTATTATAAAAAAAAGAAAACTAAATTTTTATATTGGAGGCAACCTAATAAGTCAATGACAGTGAATTTATAGGGTACAGAAAAGTAACACTTAAGTCCTCAGGAATAGCAACGCATGAGGGGTATCGTGGGCGAAACAGTATACTTTGTTATGTCCATAGTACTGCTCATATCTATAGGTGACCGTTACCACTTTCCATCAGGTGCCCACCTGTTAGTCATCATCATCATCACCATCAGTTCATATCATTCTAAGTTGCATAAAAAAGTAATAAAAAAAAATCATAGTACATTCTGATAATTATTATTTATACATTTTTTTTTGGGAACCTGTTTGGGACATTCACACCCATGAAGGAAATTATTACAGGAAAATTAGTAATATATCCTTACTAATCTTATTATTATTAAAAAAGTGGAAGTTTGTGAGGATGTTTGGTATTTTTTACACAAAAACTACTGAACCTTTACCTGAACCTATTTTTTGGTATTTATTTGGTACCTATTGATTAGGTACCTATGTCCAATTCGTGTTTCTGCCGCCAAATAGTTGTGTTTGCATGGCTGTGTTTCGATTTGAAGGATGGAGTTTAGCATTGAAATTACAGGGTAAACTACAAAGGTATAACACCTTAGTCCTCAAGAATGGCAACGCATGGCCCTCCATGGACGAAAGAGTATACTCTCTTATGTATGTATGGTACTATACATGTACATGTCTATAGGCGACGGTTACCACTTTCCATCAGGTGGGCCGTCGAGGTAATTTTTTTTAATGGATGATAATGGTATAGTGATTCTGCCTGCGCCAACGGTATACGCTGGTGGGGTACCAGCGAAGGATGAAAGGTGAGGATGAAAAGGCAGTCAACCCTTTATGATTAATTTACTTGGAACTGAGCACGATGGGAACTGCGGGGAACCGCGAGGAAGTCGACCTGACAGGGTGTATTGCCAGCAATGGGGCTACTAATCTCCATTACTGATAATCTCTTCTCTTCTCTATGTACTTCACTTCCAGCCATGTAGGTACTATACAAATGTGAAACAGATTACCAACAGCGGCATATACTAATAAATACGACACGAGGAAAAAGAAAAGAATTTATAGCTTTTTAAAAGAGAGGCAATGCATGGGCGACTCTCTTAGTCTATGGGCAGCGGTAATTATCTACTTACTATCAGGTGAAATGCAAAAAAAAGAAGTTCTATCAAAAAGTGACAACACTACCAGCGAACTGTGTAAAGAAAAAAAATTTGGGGAAGAGATTGTTAGTAATGGGGATGTTAATCCCCATTACTAATATGTTAATGTTAACATGTTAATTCATTCTGTCATCTCTCATTGGTGCTCCACCAACATATACCGAGAGCGCAGGCGGGTCCAGCCTCAAAAAAAAATACGATAAAATGAAAACGATGAAAGTATGACATTAGGTTAGTTTTTTTTTAATATGTGATAATGGAATGGTAACCCCGCCTGCGCTATCGGGATACACCGGCGGGGTACCAATGAAGGATGATAGATGAGGATGAAGCAGGTCAGTTGGCCCATCGTGACGAATTCAACAAGAATTGTTCATGATGGTTTCCAGGGGGAACCACGTGGAGGTCGACCTAATAGGGCATATTGTTAGCAATGGGGCTATCAAACTCCATTGCTAACAATCCCTTTCCCCCCCATTAGGTCAGTTAGATCATTCTATGACCTAATATCATATTTTGGGGATTATTGATAATAGGGATGTAACTGCCTTATTGCTAGTAATATATCCTTATCAGGTCGTCTTCCACGCGGTTCTTCCTGGAAACCATCTTGGTTAATTCTTTATGAACTCGTCATTATGGGCAAACTGACTCGTTTCATCCACAGCGGGCGAGGCTGCCATTCCATTATCACCCATTATACAGAGGAATAACACCTGAGTCCTCAGGAATGGCAACGCATGGGGGGTATCATGGGCGAAATAGTATACTCTGTTATGTCCATGGTACTGCTCATGTCTATAGGCGACGGTTACCACTTTCCATCAGGTGGGCCGTCAGCTTGTTTGCCATTCTAAGTTGTATAAAAAAAACCCATTAAAAAATCATACGTTGGGGGAAAGGGATTGTTAGTAATAAGGATCTGACAGTCCCATTGCTAATAATATACCCTTATCAAATCGACCTCCACGCGGTTACTCCTGAAAACGTTGGGGAGAAAGAAATAGTACTAGTAGGATATGGTCCAATTGCCTGTTTTATCCTTACCTATCGTCCCTCATTGGCGTCCAACTAGTGTATATCAATATCACAGACGGGATTACTATTTTATACACTCATAAAAAATAAACTCACACTTCACTGGCGCCCCGCTTCTTCTTCTTTTCATTTAAGAGTTTCCTCTTGTCGGTGCAACTAATTCATGCATCTTCTTCCAGCCAGCTCTATCCCAGGCCATATCCTTGATCTCCCTATACGACATGACACCTAGTGTTTCTTTTATCTGTCCCATGTAGTTATTCCTCGGTCTTCCTCTTTTGCCCTCTATTTTTCCTTCTACTATGCTCTTAAAAAATCGTCATGTCGTATAAAGTGACCCAGCATTTTGGCTCTTCTATTCTCTATTATTTTAATTAATGTTCTTTTCTCGTTCACTCTTTTCAGGACTACCTCATTCGTTAGTTTTGCGCCTCGCTATTGTACGTAAATAGATGGATGCACTATTCAATTAAAAAAAAAAATAGGCTATTTTCATGTAACATCATTATTAGATAAAGATATAATTATCTGTAATCTGTTAACGATACGTGAGATTGGACCAATTAGCACCAACGGCCACATATCGAAAAATCGCGTATGGCATACGTGCTTTGTCTCCAGATTCTGTTATCTGATAGATATGGGGTTCACAACTGGTCTAATATAGGTTGAGTTCTGGTTGATAGTCATCACTTGAGTGCCTCCATGTGCGAAGTGGAAGATGTGGCGGTGGTTGCTGTTGGGTTTATCGGTGCATTGGAATACTGTAAGTATTTATTACCTTTATATTAATAATCTTAAATAGTATTATAAAGTTTTTTTTTTTATTGTTTAATAGATAATAAATTTATAATAAAAAAAATTGTTTTGAAATACCAACACTGTAATGTGAGTTGTATTTTTTTTAATGGGTAATAATGGAATAGTAACAGCGCCTGTGCCATCGGTATACGCTGATGGGACACCAGTGAGGGATGATAGGTGAGGATGAAAAGGTAGGTCAGTTAGCCCATCGTGACGAATTCCACTAGAATTAACGACGATGGTTTCCAGGGGAACCGCGTGGAGGTCGAGGTTGCTAGCAATGGGTCCATTAGATTCCATTACTAACAATCCCTTTCCCCCCTGTGGGTTGTATTTTAAATGAAAATTTTGCATCTAGTTTCGTGTAGTAGTTTTTCAGTGATTCCGTAACATACATACCTGCATACAGACAGACAAACAAAAATTCTGACAATTATTGTTTTGCCTTCAAATGGTTTTATTATGACTCTCAAATACTTTTTTAAAATATAATTATAATTTTATTTATCTAGTTAAAATTTTATTATACATACACATACATATCTGTCACGCCTGCCTCCCATTAGGGTAGGTAGAAACAATACAACGCCAAATGCTTCGATTCAAACAAGCCTCTTTTTATTAGTAAGATAATACTGGTTATTCTCGATTTGTCTGTTTTTTTTTTGTAATTTGTTATTTTTTGTGTCTTTGCAAAATTCTGAAGCGATTTGAATTATGCTTTCCGTTAATAATTAAAGTTTACTCTATTTAGATATTCTCAATTCGTTTTGGCCTTTTTGCGTCTGTATGTTACGTGATATCTTCGTTAATGCATTTATTTATGAATAGATTTTGTTGATTCTGCTTTTTGTTAATTGTTTAGAAACAACGTTTAGAAGTTTTAAATATGCATTTATTTTTGCGTATGTTACTCGATATCTTAAATAATTTCGAACCGATTTCCATTATTCTTTTTCGGATTGTTTTGATGGCTTTTTACCAGAGGGAGACTTTGTACAAAAGTCGATTGCTTGGGTACCTCTGTCCCATTCGTGTTTCTACCGTGAAGCAGTTGTGTTTGCATGGCTGTGTTTCGGTTTGAAGGGTGGGATATGGTGTGAATTTGCAGGGTACAGAGGAATAACATCTGAGTCCTCAGGAATGGCAATGCATGGGCGAAACAGTATACTCTGTTATGTCCATGGTACTGCTCATGTCTATAGGCGACGGTTATCATTTTCCATCAGGTGGGCCGTCAGCTTGTTTGCCATTCTAAGTTGCATAAAAAAAAAGAACTGATATGTTACTCGTCATTCCTACATTAAATTTGTCTCGAGAGCAACAGCTTTTGTGTCGAGACAATTCGTAAATATGTATGTTTTGTAACATAGACTTAATATAACGTACAATGTAGGGTTTGTAGTATACAAAGTAAACAGTAGGACCATAGATAAGAGAATAATATTTTTTTTATGGTGGAACAATTGAAAACAACGTGAATTGCAGATCCGTTTTTATTACGCGACGGCGTCTATGTGTTTTTGATTAGGTAGATATGTGTTTATGTGATAAAACTTATTTTTTATAATCTTTAAAAAGAAGGCGGATTATAATTTGACTGTTTTTTTTTTATTCATTTATGTGTAAAGAGGTGGCCCTTTAATGGCGTTATCATATGAATCTATCAGCTGTTACCTGTCCACTGCTAAACATAGGTCTCCACCATGAAGGGGGGTTTGCCAATAGTTGCTACGCTTGGTAGATGGGTTGGCAACCGTAGTTAGGCTTTGGTTATGTTTTAAGAGGGACGCTGTTGCTTATTCCTCGACCATTAAGTTCCCTTGCTCGCCTCTTACGACACTCACGAGAAAGGAATGCGTGGCTCTCCATCAATTGTAATCGATTTAGTAAATAATTATTTTAAAAGATTTTATCAAAACCGAATCAGTAGTTTAGTTTTGAAATTTATGGGACCAATCTGAAAAAGCACCCTTTTAGTTAAGAAAGAATTTTCCAAACTGACTTATAAAACTGACGGAGTTATGAGGTAACAATCATAAAAAAAAAGAACCGAATTAGGAACCTTCACCTTATTTAAAATCATTTGAAGATTTGTGATAATTTTCTTCTTTTAAGAAAAGCGCTTTCCATTATGGTTTTATAACTTTAAAAACTACATATACAACTGAAATTTATAAACTAATGTTTCGCAATATCTTTGTGAATTCTAAAGGGATATTAAGAATTATTTTTCCATTCCATAGTGTTTACTCCCATGTAAATTCCATAGATAATACATATCTATTCAATTTACTATGATAACTGCTGTTCAAACATATGAATACTTAGCTTAAATATAAATTTAATGACAATACCTACATCGGTGTTCAAAACAAGTCAAATTATAACAATAATATATTAATTATTATATTATATTAAAATAAAAATAACTTACGAGTCCATGATATAGATTATACACGGATGAAAATTATATATCTAAATATGTCTTCGAACTCGTCAGCGTGCTATGTAGGTACTTAATCACAAACGTGACTAAAATTACTAATGATGCTATCATTAATAGATAGACATGGGTAATATGGATACCGGGGGGAAAGGGATTGTTAGCAATGGAGTTTGACAGCCCCATTGCTAGCAATATGCCCTATTAGGTCGACCTCCACGTGGTTCCCCCTGGAAACCATCGTGAACAATTCTTGTTCAATTCGTCACGATGGGCTAACTGACCTACTTCATCCTCACCTATTATCCTTCACTGGTGCCCCGCCGGTGTATACCGATAGCGCGGGTGGGGTTACCATTCCATTATCTTCCATTAAAAAAATAAATAAAAAAAAATATGGATACCGATTCGATATCTGTATAGCATATAGTTCTCTATCTTAGTTATGTGTATTAGTATTGGATATATATATATATATATATATATATATATATATATATATATATATATATATATATATATATATAGGTGTGGCTAACAAATATTTTTTTTTTCTCAGATCACTGTTTGATTATTAGGACTGCAGGATTTCTTAATCTACATATATTATTTCCTGTGTGGATATGAATATATTTATTAACTTTTTAGTCGATTTCGAAAAGAAGGAACTTCTGAATTCCATAATTTTATGTATATAAAGTTATGGAAATATATATTATATATTTCCATAACTCCGTCAGTCATAAATCCATTTGGAAAATCCTTTATTTATTTAAAGAACATACTTACAAATTACTTCGACATACATTTTATCAAAATTGGATTTATAGTTTAGTTTTTGAATCAAAATAACATGTTATGCTTTAATTGAAGTCGCACAATTTTAATTATTAATTGTTGTTTTAGATAATATCCCAGCCGATCACAAACGATCATGAGCGGACACAACCGACGGAATGCTGTCCGTGCCCGAAGGATCACGTCACTACTGTTTCCGACCAACGCTTCCTATCAGACGAGGAAAATGCGACTCTATCTGAAAACTTTGCTAATATCGAAACCAGTTTTGATCGTGAAAATAATTCTAATAGCAATGATCAACTCCTACTGCGTGACCCGAGCGGCACGTATGCGGACGCACCTAATGGCATTATGGATAACTGTCCGTGCAGGGTTCGAGATGCTGACACCGTGGGATCGCCATCAAAATTCATTCCGTCAGCAGTTAATGATATTTGGACTGACGTAAGGTAAGATTACATTTTTTTTGAGCAGTGTGTATATGTAAATTTTATAATTCTTGAACTTGTAACATTTTTAATCGACTTCAAAAGAAGAAGGTACGCAATTCGGTTATATTTTTTTATGTTTGTTACCTTATAACTTCGTCATTTCTAAATCGGTTTGAAAAAGGATATACTTACTTAGATTGTTCCCATGGAAATTTTATCAAAATCGGTGCAATAGTTTAGTTTGTAAATCAAAACAACTGATGTTGTCAGAATCTTTAATTATTGTTATAAAAGCTGAAGTTGTTAATAAACAGTCGAGTTTATTTTCAATTACAATTTTTTGCTGTACCGAATGACAGAATACAATATGTATAACGTTTTATAAGCGCTTAATAACAATGTCTTTAAATAAAGAATTTGTGGTTGATTTATATAATACTTAAATTTAAAAACAGTATCATAAATACTTATTTTTTTTGTTTTTATATGTTCTTTTATTATTGTCGCGGCAAACAAGCATAGGTACGACTTAATAAATAATATGACGTAGTAATGACGTTTAATAAATAATATGGGTGCCTGTAACACCAATGTTGCCGACAGTTAAGAAATATTATTACGCCCTTTTTGAAGAAGTGAAATGCTGTAGACATAGGAAAATCTATTTTTCCTTACTGTTTTACTGTTTAAGATTTTTTTTAAAAAACTGTTGTTTAAATTTTTTAACGGTTATAATAAAATAATATTATTAAATTACAGCTCTAAAGAGAAAAAAGAAGATATTAAACCGCTTTTACATCCTGAAGTGGACCTAGCATCATCGGTGTTAGAAACTCTACGCGAAGCTACAGATGAAGAGTACAGTGATGCATTGGTAAGAGATGCTGCTAAAAATGCTATGCGAGAGGATGATAGTATTGAAAGTAATGTTAAATCTGCTCTAGATACTGCTAAAAATATTGTAAATCTTATAATAAATCCAAAACAAGAAGCTGATGTACAAGATGATGTTATTCAAGAAGAATCTCATACTCATGAATCTAGATGTATTCATCCTCTTAGTAAATTTAATATTATGACAAAAGAACCAATAACAAAACCTTCAAATTTATTATCTGAATTATACTACTTACCTAAAATGAAACCTTTATTTCACAAGAAAAATCTAGACATGGATAATAGTGTTGGAGCTAGTAACGTAAATGAACATATAGTTAGTAGTAGTAATGTAAAAAATAATCTAAATTTAAAATCAAATCCCTCCTTATTTAATTTGTACTCGGATGATGGCCACAAAGAAGATACTGATTTATTCAAAGAAAGTAATAAGCTGCAACCTAATATTTTAACGTTATTTAAAAATGAAATAGCTAATGTGAAGCCATATCCTACTCTAAAACAAATTATAACTCCTAATGACATTAATAAAGATGTTGACAATTCATTATTGGCAATTCAAAAGCCTAATAGGAACAATATAGATTCAAAGTTTAAATTAAAATCTTTATTACCAATTTCTGGACTAACAGTAACTACAATGAAACCATTTAATTTAAAAAATCTATTAAAGTTGAAAGATGTAGAACTGATCTCTCCTAGTAAGATTGTAAAAACGGAAACTGAGAATGTGAAAGGTAATATACCTCAACTTTTACCTGTTTTAGAAGAAACAAATCTTTTTAAAGATTTTGAATCTTCTAATTTAGGTGATTTTATTAGCAACGAATTAAATTTGAATATTAACGCTTTAAAGAAAAATAATCACCTCAATAATTATAAAGATGAGACAAATGATCTCAACCAATCTAATAATGTACAAATAATACCAAATTCTAATCGTAAAATCGAAATAATGGACGTAGTGTCCAGTCCTTCAGAGGAAAAAATAACTTGGAACAATAATAACGTAAAAGAAGAGGAAAACTGTAAAGTGCAAAAAATAGATGATACTAATACAAAAAGGATACCAAAAGTAATATCTTCTCAGAACTCTATCTCAAAGATTAATATTGAACCCGAAAGGAACAAATTTAATGAACCTGTCCAATTTACGAAAATAACTCAAATATTGGATGCTTTACCTAGTGCTTCTGAAGATAAAATAAGAATTGTAACTAATAGTAATCCTGACATGAATGATAGTGAGACACAAGTCACGGATAGTGAAGAAATTATTGTAAATAATGGATTGAATAATGAAGACGGTGATAATGATAATGTAAATAACGAAGGGAATGATGATAATAGTAATCACGACACTACGACAGAAACAGAGTTCAGTGATTTGACAGAAGAAGACTCTTTAGATCAAACAATAAATGAAGATTTACAACCACAGATTACTGAAAATATGAATTTTGTTGATAATATTATAAATGATGGAACAAATTCAGAATCCGACTTGAGTATAAATGTTGAATCTAGAGAGTTATATGACGAAGAAAATAAAAGTGCAGACTGTGAAGATTTCGGCGATAAAGATGAAATAGATGGCTTAAAATCTCGTAATAGTATACAGACAAAAGAAGATTATTTAGACCAGACAGAAAATAAGGAAGACTTACAATCACAAACTAGTCAAAATGCGGAAGTTGTTGATAGTAACATAAATAGTCGAGAAAACTCAGAGTCTGATTTGAGTTTAAATTTTGAATCTGAAGAGTCATATGATGAAGAAAATAGAAATGTAGATAGTAAAGATTTCAGTGACGAAGATGAAATAGATGGGTTAAAATCTCGTAATAATACACAAATAAAAGAAGATTGTTTGGATCAGTCAGAAAATAAGGAAGATTTACAACCACAAACCAGTCAAAATGTGGAAATTATTGATAGTAACAGAAATAGTCAAGAAAACCGAGCGTCTGATTTTAGTTTAAATTTTGAACCTGAAGAATCATATGATGAAGAAAATAGAAGTGTAGACAGTAAAGATTTCAGTGACGAAGATGAAATGGATGGGTTGAAATCTCGTAATAGTATCCAGATAAATGAAGATTGTTTAGATCAGACAGTAAATAAGGAAGACTTACAATCACAAACTAATCAAAATTCGAAAGTTGTTGATAATAATATAAATAATCGAGAAAACTCAGATTCTGATTTCAGTTTATATTTTGAACCTGAAGAATCATATGATGAAGAAAATAGAAGTGTAGATAGTAAAGATTTCAGTGAGGAAGACGAAATTGATGGTTTAAAATCTCGTAATAGTATCCAGATAAATGAAGATTGTTTAGATCATACAGAAAATAAGGAAGATTTACAACCACAAACCAGTCAAAATGTGGAAATCGTTGATAGTAACATAAATAGTCAAGAAAACCGAGCGTCTGATTTCAGTTTAAATTTTGAACCTGAAGAATTATATGATGAAGAAAATAGAAGTGTAGATAGTAAAGATTTCAGTGAGGAAGATGAAATAGATGGTTTAAAATCTCGTAATAGTATCCAGATAAATGAAGATTGTTTAGATCATACAGAAAATAAGGAAGATTTACAACCACAAACCAGTCAAAATGTGGAAATCGTTGGTAGTAACATAAATAATCAAGAGAACCGAGCGTCTGATTTGAGTTTAAATTTTGAACCTGAAGGATTATATGATGAAGAAAATAGAAGTGTAGACAGTAAAGATTTCAGTGACGAAGATGAAATGGATGAGTTGAAATCTCGTAACAGTATACAGATAAAAGAAAATTGTTTAGAGCAGTCAGAAAATAAGGAAGATTTACACCCACAAACTAGTCAAAATGTGGAGGTTGTTAATAACATAAATAATAACGGAGAAAATTTTGATCTAAGTTTAAATATTAAATCTAGAGAGTCATATGATACTGATAATGGAAGTGTAGATAGTACAAATTTTAGCTATGAAGATGAAAAAGATATTCCACGAACAGATCTATTTAATAAAATGATTAGTGAGTTGTTATCACTAAAAGAAAGCATTTCTAAAACGTTAAATGACATGAAAAAATCAATGAAACATTCCAATATATCAGTTGAACAAGATAAAGTTGAATCAGCTAATGATAATAAAGAAAATAGTGAGGTATATAAAGTTAATCGTGATAATGATATCGAAAAGTCAAAAAATGACTCAAATTCTTTTATTAGAACGTTGGACAACAATGATGAAAACGCTAACAATATTAATAGCCAAGAATTACAAAATATGTCGGATAACTTACTGCACTTGAGTACTAGAAATGATCAGGAACCACTAGGTACACAAACAATAGAATGTACTGAAGCTATAACCGACAGTAGTATTGAATCTAATGAATTTGGAGCTTCAATAAATACTCTTACAAAAAGTACAGAGGTTTTTGATGAATCTGCCGAAAATAAAAGTATTGAATCTACAACAGAATCACAAATTACACCTGTTACGGAGATTATCGATAGTAATACAGATTTTATTAGTAATACTATGAAGGCGCATGAAGCAGATTCTGAAAACTCGTGCTTAGACAGAAATATTGGTATTAATACCGATAAAAATAACGAAATGACAGCCGAAGGCAGTCATCCGGTTGGAAATACTATTACAACAGATAATACACTATTTCCTAATATTTTCCGGTCTAATTTACTAGATCCAAAATTAAATATTGGTGATATTTTAAACCTTAATTTGCCACAAAGTTCAGTTATACCCAACATATTTGATAAACCTAATAATAATATGGATGCGGCAGAACATGATAATAATGATTGTTCACTTATGGCAACACAAGCCAATACGCCTTTTTCTAAAACCATAATATCACCGTTGAAACCATTGGAAGATATTGATTTAGATATTTTTCAATTGAACCCATTAATAGGATCACAAAATATATTTTCTAAATTGCCTCGACTAAATATAAATTCTTATAAAACAAAATTAGCTATGCCTAAGACATTGGGGATTATGCCGTTGAAATTAGAATCATCCGTAGGCAACAATAATGGTATATTTGGAGCAAGTTTGACTATGGGTCCTAAAGTACCTTTAGGAAAAATAGGGAAAGAGCCATCTATTCTGGGAACGCCTTTAAATAACTTACCCACTTTTGAAGATTTACAAGAAAGTATAAGAGAAAATGCACATAATTTATTATATACACCTTTAGAAATAACCAGTAAAAATGTATTTGATGATACATTACGCTCTGGACAAACAATTTCAGATAACATTAGATCTCACACTAAAAATGCTATGAGGGATATTCAGCAAACATTGGAAACAACACTAAAAGATGTAAAAAATAGCGATTTAGCCGTTTTAGGTGATTCATTATCAAATCCACATGAATTTCTACAAGCAGTTTCCAGAACACATGAAGACGTTAATGATAAATTGAAAGCGATACATTATGATTTGAATGATCGGCTTGAATCGATTCGTGACCGTATTATTGATCCGTCATTGTTACCATCTTTGACTTTACCTCTACCTTTAAGTCAGCACAGTGGAAAATATAGTGAATCTGCAATTTTCCCCAGCTATAGTGAACGTAAACCAGTTCGTTATTTAGAAGCCAAGAGTGAATCATGGAAGGATAAAACATCATTAAAAAAATCCGATTCAAAAGCAAAATTAAGTACACCAAAGATATCTTCGCCTAAAAGGAAACCACCATCAACAAAAACAATCTCCGATATTCCATTGTTTAAAGGCTCGGAAGTGTCAAAATTAAAAGGAGCAGCTTCAGAACCTTCACTTGTACAGTACCCTGCTTTTAAAATACCACATTTCTCATTGGATAAAAAATCTTTTCCTAATCTTTTAGCTGAACCAATATCGCGATTTAGAGATAGCAAAATTCCCGTACTAAGTACATATAAACCTAAAAGTAAAGTGAAAATATCATTTTCACAAACAACAAAGCGTCCACAAACACTTCCTTCTTTAAAAAATAAAAATTCTTATGGACTGCCTAAATCTAAACTTAATACAACACCTGTACTAAAGAAGGTAAAGCTACCGACGCTTTATCGCGAATCGGTTAAAAATAATCATCGTATGCAATCAGTAAAATCTAAACAAAGGTCTAATTTTGATTCCAATGGAGCTGCCAGTGACTTAACTACATCTGTACTACAACCATCTTTAAATAAACCTAACAAAGTTAAATCTGCTATTGAATTAAATGAATCTGATTATAATACGAGAAAAGATCTAAAAAATTCCCCAGAAAGTCTTGATCTGGTTGATATTCCCAAATCTAGATTTATGAATTCAATCTTTAAGAACAGGTCGAATCAATTTAAAAAATCAAAGTTAAATGAAGATTTTATGAGAAATCTAAACAGCAAATTAAGAAGTACAACTGTGCTAAACAAATTGCCTGATACAAGAAATACCAATTTCTTTTCTATGGGAGAAAATATGCCAGATAATTCACTGCCATCAGATGTATTAAATGACATCGACAGATCTGATTCGATTCAATTTAATACAGATATGACGCGATCAGCTTCAAAAAGCAATGATATGATTCAATATAAAAATAAACCACTTGAGGAAAATACTTCATATACATGTAGAATGATGTGCACAAAGAAAGTCTAAGTATAATAAATTAAAATTTAATTGTAAGTTAGTTTATTATCCAAGTTAGAAAATGACAATGTCCATTACAAATATTAATACATAGAAAGTTACTAAATTTCACAAACTTGCATAAATAAATTTGTATTCTTTCAGTTAAAGAGATTATTTAGTATTTAATTTTATAATGGAAAACTGTATAATTTTATTAAGATGTTAAGATGTATGTTTTTGTTGTAAGTATTGTACATAAAATGTAAATAAACTAGATTATAAGTTTTGATACGAAAATAAAATATATAAAAAGCCTTGGTTTTATTATGATTCAGTTTTTACGATTTAGATCACAATTTAGGGGGCGCTACTGTGCCCCCGCCATGTTGAGTACAGCCGTAATATCCCCTAAGTCGCTCACAACATTTTTAATCCCCCTGTAACTTCTATATGGATAAAGCAAAAAGTTGCATATTTTATTTCTTCTTTCATTCTTTATCGTACATCATCCAGCGAACCCAGTTTGAGATAAACTGACAGTTTATTCATAGTTACAGCCATATATGTTTCCGAATCGATTTAATGTTATTGTTAAAAATAAATAAATAAAATATCCATACAACTGAAAACACCTATAGGTATAAATACATATATAAAAAATATAACAGTAAATCATTTATAAATAGATATAGCATAGTCGTAAATAGATATTGTATATATCATATATCTAGTATATGTCATATATAATACATAAATATAAAAACTAGGTACACCAGTATTTTTTTTTATGGGTAAAAATTGTATGGTAACCTCGCCTGTGCTAACGGGATACGCTGGCGGAGCACCAGTCAAGGGTGATAAATGAGAATGAAAACAGGCCAGTTAGCCCATCATGATGAATTCATCAGGAATTAACCATGATAGTTTCCAGGGGGAACCGCGTGGAGGTCGACCTGGTTGGGTATATTGCTAGCAATGGGATTCTCAGTCTCCATTACTAACAATAGCTTTCCCCCCGGTACACCAGTATTGTGATAGATAATAATTGATCATTTTACTAGAGGGAGACTTTGTACAAAAGTCGTTTGCTTGGATACGTCTGTCCCATTCGGGTTTTTACCATGAAGCAGTTGTGTTTGCATGGCTGTGTTTCAGTTTGAAGGATGGGATATGGCGTGAAATTGCAGAGTACAGAGGAATAACACCTGAGTCCTCAGGAATGGCAGCGCATAGGGATATCATGGGCGAAACAGTATACTCTATTATGTCCATGGTACTGCTCATGTCTATAAGCGACGGTTACCACTTTCCATCAGGTGTGTCGTCAGCTTGTTTGCCATTCAAAGTTGCATAAAAAAAGAAATCAGAAGCAATTTGAAAATCTCAATACTTGGCCTATTTCTGATATCATAAGGAAGTGTGTTCCATAACCTAATCGCAGTCACGACAAAAGAGTTTGGAAACGCTTGACCAGAATGAGACGAAGTTCGTATTAAAAAAAAACGTTTAAGAGTCCTATTATTGCTTTCTGTAGGGTACAGAAAGTAAAACTGCTTACGAAGATATGATGATGATGCAATGGGGTTATACAGGACGTTATAAAGAGAGAGTGTGTGTAAATTAAGTCGAAGCTTAAATTAAACCTATTTTATTTTAGTGATTAAGAAAGCATACTATAAATGGTTAGATTGCCAATATAGTTAATAATTAAGTCTTATGGTATACGAATTGTTGCTTCTTACACTTTTTTTTATTTTGTCATTGATACATTCACCTTGTAGCAATAAAAAAAGGACAAAATGAAAAATATTTATCACGATGAGCTAACTGATCTGTCTTTTCATTCTTACCTATCATTGCTCTATCTCATTGGTGCCCTGCCAACGTATATCGTCAGCGCAGGCGGGGAAAAACATGGCGGCGTATTCGTGGAGGATGAAGAAATAATCATGAAGTCAAATCAGTTAGCCCATGGTGACGAATTTGTTAGGAATTAACAATGCAGGGAGCAGGGAGGTAGACCAGATTTTTGTACTCCACATATGTATTATGTATATTTTTGTATTTTTCTTTAAGTAGTACAATAACGAGAAAAAAAATAAATAAACGTAATAGTTAGCAATAGGAAATATGATTTACCATTTTTATCTTTAATTTGTTTTATTATTTCTAATGGACGCTAATGAATGGTAACCCCGCTACGCTAACAGTATACGCTGGCCGATTACCAGAGAATGATGATAGATGAGGAGGCAGATGGTATGTCATCACCTTAGATTATATAGAGTGTCTGCACACAAATGCTTCGAGAAAATCGGGTTAACTTTTTCATACAAATTTGCGTGATAAATAGTTACGAAAGTTGAATTTATAACTTCTACATTTATTTCGTTTCCATATTTTTTACATCTTAATAATGCGTAAAAGCGTCCATTTATTTATTAATTAATTAAATATAGGTACGACAAGATACATTGTGTGCGTTAGTATGTAGAACACTGATAAAAAACCGAGTCAGCAAATTTGACAATTAGCTGACAAAAAGTTGACTCGTTTTTGAGATTCGATGCACTATCTATATAATCTATTCGTAAGGTGATAACCAATTCTTCTTAATCTCGATGGTTTCTAAGGGAACACTTATTCGTAGTTACTATTGTGAAATTTAATGACATGATTGTTTACTATACAAATAGATACCAAAACAAAATCTTTGATAATCTTTATTAATAATTGTTATCTTGCACGACATAAAATTGTATGATGTATTTTAAAACCTGAATCAAATAATGATTCTTGTATTAAATTGATTTGCATATATAATTTTAAACTGAGTAATAAGCTATTTGTATTAACTATATCCGCTAAACACTTTATAGAATAGAATGGAATGGAGTGAAACAAAATGAAACAGAATGGAATGTAGTGGAGTGGAATGTGGAGTGGAATGAAAGAGTGGAATGGAGTGTGGAAATGAAGTGGTGTGCAATGGAGTGGTATGGAATGGAGTAAAGTTGATTGGAATGGATTGGTATAAAATGGAATGGAGCAGGACGAAGTTGAATGTTGTGGAATAGAATGGAATAAAATAGAAAATATTAATTGATCACAAAACAATTTCTCGAAATTCAATGAGAAATACACAATAATAATTACAGAAAAAGAATAACCAAATTTTATCATTAAGCCATTAACAGCGAGCACATTTCCTGCTGTTAGCAGCGCTGATATTTTGTCAGCTACCATGGTGACGTGAGGGGGAAGGGATTGTTAGTAAAGCGGACCAGTCCCATTGCTAGCAGTACAACCAACTAGCTTGACCTCCACGTAATTCCCCTTGGAAACCATCGTGCTGAATTCCAAGTGTATTCATCACGATAGGCTAACTGACCTGCCTTTTCATTCTCATCTATCGTTCCTCATTGGGGTTTCCACTCCATTATCACCCATTAATGATCAAAGTGATGTCACAGATATAGCAAAATCTATTCAACATGTTTATAACGTATGAAAGGAAATTTACGTTACTTCTTTTATCTGTTTTTTTTTTTATACATGTTTAATTTTATTTTTTGTGTATACCTATAATGTTAATAAATTATATAACTATATTTTGGTCAAGCGGACGAAATCACTGGTTAAATATTGGGAAGGGGGGAAGGGATTGTTAGTAATGGGGAGGTTAATCTCCTTTGCTAATATATCAATATACCCTATCAGGTCGATCTCCAGGCGGTTCTCCCTGGAAACTGTCGTGACTAATTTATCGTTGAATTCGTCATGATAGGCTAACTGACCTGCCTTTTCACCCTCGCCTATCATCTCTCACTGGTACCCCGCCAGTGTATACCGATAGCGAAGGCGGGGTTACCATTCCATTTTTGCTCATTAAAAAAAAAACTAGTATATCAGAATGCTAATATGTATACAATACGTCAATTGTGCGTCATATTATGTTTTTCAATATCGAATAATAGTTTGTCACATTATTATTAGTTTATTATTAATTACAATGTATAAGCCCAGATGTTTAAAACATTCCCATTCGTGTTTCAACTGTGAAGCAGTTGTTTGCATGGCTGTGTTTCGGTTTGAAGGGTGGGATATGGCGTATATTTACTGGGTACGGAGGAATAACACCTGAGTCCTCAGGAATGGCAACGCATAGGGAGTATCATGGGCGAAACAGTATACTCTGTTATGTCCATGGTACTGCTCACGTCTATAGGCGACGGTTACCACTTTGCATCAGGTGGGCCGTCAGCTTGTTTGCCATTTTAAGTTGTATAAAAGAAAACATAATAGTATCTATTAGGTATACATGAAATATAAATGAAATATTCAATTATTTAAATTGTGTTTGAATAATGTACTAGTTTGTTACATCTGTAAACTTTCCATTAATAATATATTAACCAGTGTTTAGGTCCGGCTTCGCACGGAAAGGTGGAGCAGAATTTTCGAAAATAATACATACCTAGTTTATATTGTTTGTTACTACTGTAGTATTCTAAAGATGACCAGAGGGAGACTGTACAAAAGTCGTTTGCTTGTGTACCTCTGTCCCCTTTAATGTTTTAACGGTGAAACCGTGTTTTGCAAGGCTGTGTTTCGGTTTGAAGGGTGGGATATGGCAGTAAATTTACAGGGTACAGAGGAATAACTCCTGAGTCATTAGGAATGACAACGCATGGAGGCGAAACAGAATACTCTGTTATGCTGTTATGCCCATGGTACTGCTCATGTCTATAGGTGACGGTTATCACTTTCCATCAGGTGGGTTGTCAGCTTGTTTACCATTTTACTAAGTTGTATAAAAAAAAAAGAATTTCTATAATCGGATTAGTAGTTTTTGGGTTTATCTATTAATAAACAAACAAATAAACAATCAAATAATTAAGTTCATAATAATATTTTATTTGCTCAAATATGGGTATTACAGATGTTACATTAATAGGTTATTACGCCTCCATATTTTACCATAAATGGCGTGCAAATCTTCTTTTTTCATTATAATCATATTTTTATATATTGTAGATATTGTTAAAATATGAACACAAAAGTTTTAAAAATAATAAATCTATATCTCCTCTTTATAATATTAGAAGTAAAGATAAAAAAGTGATAAATAAAATAATCTGTAGATACTTTTTTGATACCTTGTAGAAGGAACAAGTTTTTTTCTTTTTTAATGGATGGTAATGAAATAGACACCCCGCCTGCGCTAACGATATACTCATACGCTGGCGGGGCACCAGTGAGGGGTGATAAGTGAGAATAAGAAGGCGACCTGCCTTC